TTATAACCTTACCTTATAATATGAGCGCCCTGTATCTCGGGAATGGAAGCAGGTTGTTTAGTATCTGAGCAGTGAATGGTACGCCTTGAAGGATGAAACTTTCACTAATTTGATCTTAAAAGATGGTTTTTATAACCTTACCTTATAATATGAGCGCCCNGAACTGGCTGCCATGTACTGTGCGAAATCAATCGATCTGGCAAGAATAAAATGTGGACATCCCTCTTCTAAGAATTCCAATTGAGTGTGTTAGTGTGGCCAGCTCAGGGCAATATGATATTATAAACACAAGCACATATCACGTCTCTGCTGTTTATAGCTTCAGAGCAAAGAAAACACGCCATTCATAACAGCTTGAACGAGGAAATCGCTCGCAAGAGCAACAGGAACTTTGCTGCAAGACAGGCATATGTAACGATCACTTAGCGCAGCTAAACTCCTGTCGTCGTCCTCGTTGTTCTCCTGACAACAGGCCAGCGAAAAATCTAACAATCTACAGCAAAACCATCAAATATTATGGGCGTTATAACGTAGGTGTGCAACTGGACGAAACATACACGTGAAACCCCCCCAGACGATTTAAATACCTGACGAAACATACACGTCAAACCACGCTGAACGGTTAATACTGCTGGTGCGTGTAATAATAGCATGACAAAGCTGATGCTCAGTAAATTTGTTTTTCTCGTGTATGATACAACATGAGTTTTAGCAGTGTTAAGTCCCATGGAGTTAGCAGTGCACCAGTCACTTACGGAATTAATGTCAGATTGAAGTAAGAGGCAATCGTGGATAGTTAATAATGTGGAGAATTTTTAGATCATCAGCAAAAATTAGAAATTTACAGTAGTTAACGGAGTCCAATAGGTCATTTATAAATACGTTGAAAAGAAAAGGCCCCAGAACAGAGCCTTGCGGCACCCTGGATGTTACATGAAAAGGCAGGGAGAGAGTGCCAGAAACGCGAACCCGAGACTGTCTGTTGGTTAAGTAAATGCGAAACCAGCTAACATAAGCATCAGAGAATCCGAAGGAGCTTAATTTATGCAAGAGCATATTGTGAGGAATGAGGTCAAAAGCATAAGAAAGATCAAAATAGACGGCATCAGCTTGTCGCTGACGGCGGACCACAGGCATCAAGAAGTCGAGAAACATCACCAAATTGGTAACTGTAGATTTAGTTCTGGTAAAGCCATGTTGGTTGGAATTAAATTTAGTGAAATGAGAAACACGATCATGAGTAATGAATTCAAACAATTTAGAGAAATTACTGATAATAGAAATAGGCCTGTAGTTGTTCACAGCGGCATGATTGCCTCTTTTAAATACTGGTACAACAGCAGATTCTTTCCATGCAGCAGAAAAATACTGCTGCGTCAGGCTCAAGTTAAATATATATGCCTAAGTATAGGAATAAAAATATCTGCACAACCTTTGATGATAAAACCAGGAATACCGTCAAGCCCAACAGATTTTGATGGATTTAGTCTCTTGATGGCTTTGTATACATCAGCATCAGAAATGGGGGCAAGTGTTAAAAATTCAGAAGATTGTGAGAGAGGGTGAATGACCTTAGAGCAGTGATTATTATAAACAGATTGAAAGTGCTTAGCGAATGCATCAGCAACAGCTTCGGGCTGGACTAGGTGTGTACCATCAACTTCTAGATGAATGGAACCGGATCTATGCTTTCTGAAATTAGATATGTATTTCCAGAAATGTTGGGCTGTGACTTTAAATTGTTATGAACTGACTTCAACCACCTAAGCCTGTTGGACTTGATGGTGTTTTTAACTAGTTTTCAGTAATAGGCGAACCTGCCGTAAAAGTAATCGGAAGGATTGTTTTTAAAACGATGGTGGAAATGATTTTTCTTGGTGATGTAATACCTTAAGGTATAGGAGAATCAGTGAGGGAGTGTAGACTTGCAGCGATACCCACAAGGAATTGCCTGTTCCATGGCACTTCTGACAGCAACACTGAGGCTGGCGACTGCTACGTCAACAGAAGAGGTTTCATACACGCTTGACCAATCATAAGTAGATAGAATGTTGTAAAGTGTAGTTTCCTGCTGCAAAATTTTGATAACTGAACTCACATTTTAAATTACTGTTAACATTAGGTAACAAAACATCAATGTTCAAAGGAGGGTGATATATATCAGGCACGACCAATCCAGAGTCGACAGGAACAGAGTTTAGATCACTGAAATTCGCAAATACCAGGTCAAGCATGTTAAGAGTGTCAACAGCCTCAACGGACTGCCTTAGGCGAAGAAAACGTGTGGAGGTGTATATAGAGTCCCCTTTGAGTTTACAATAATGATGACAACTAGAAAGAGGTGTCCCGTTCTCCCAGTTGAATCCAGGAGCATTGAAGTCACCGAGTAACATGACATGAGTATTGTTTGTGTCTAGATTGTTTTCAAGTTGTCGAAAGTAGGCAGTAATGACTTCCGATTTGGTGTCTGGAGAAGTAAAGGTTACCAGTAAGCATGTTTATGCCATCAGCAGTGGGAACCTTGACCCACACACATTCAGAACAGAGTTCTAAATCATACCTGCGACTGCAAGAGCCCAGGCTAGTGGTAATGGCTGTTAATACACCACCACCGCGAGCCTTGATTATATATGGCCGGTCAGACCGGTAAACTGTGTATTGGTTAGGAAACAGATTGTGATCGTAGCACAGGTTGTTGAGCCATGTCTTGGACAGACAAATTATGTCATAATTGGAGGTGCACATGTCATAAAATTCAAGTTGTTTGGTCCTGAGACCTCTAACGTTTTGATAGTAAATGCCAAGAGAGTTACCGAAATTGCGATGCGACATGGCCAAACGACTCTTGCTCGCATCACTGAAAGAGGCCATGTTTATGTGCATGTTGAGCTGCCTCCGTTGGCCCCATCATTACCCGCTGGATTTTCTGCAGGTTTAACAGCAGCAGTGGGAGGTGCCACTTCAGGTGTGCTGGCGGTAAATATCTGGTCTGTGGTAAGCTTGCCATAATATAGAGCAATCAAGCAACCAGAAGGCCAGACACCAGTGCTATTTATTAGAGCAAATTCGTCTTCCGATACTGAGATTTGAAAGGAAGAGTACGAGTTGAATTTAGTTTTGAGTCTGGTGCAGACCAACTGTTTTAGACTCAATTTCTCCTTCAATGATTTGTGCACATCATCAGCAGTAACCTCGGGGCTAAACCGAGAGACAATAATAATACTAACAAATAGAAAATGACAATAATATAGGAATTTATAAATTACAGAGAACTAACATGAGGAACAAGCTGCCAGGGAAAACATTTTAATATATTAACAGAAGTGACGACACCCTGAGTGAAGTGAAACAACAAATTGTAAAAGGATTTTATCTAATTTTAATTAAAGGAGGACTGCAGCGTGTGGTTTTTAAAATGAATTGGAACAGCAAAACAGTGTAGCAGTTTTAACAAGGTCTTGATTGAATATCTGTAATAAAACACTTAAGATGGCCCTTTGAGGCCGAAACATGTAGTGTTAAGTGTTGAAGAATATACTGAAGTGTAAAACAAGTTTTGCAATTTAGACGGATATAGACAAATAGACGCCAATGATCACAACATTTCGGAAACTGGCTCTGTTTCTGTCTCAGGTGAGGGGGAGAAACCTGCTCTGTTGGGTCCTTAGATATCTCCCTTCAACAAAGCCTGGTTTCAGGTATTTATATAGCTGTAGTCATATTGACGGGGGTTGTCCAGTTAGCTCTTACTAAGGGATTCAACAGAGTAATGTCTCGCCCATCACCTGAGGACAGAAGCAGATCCAGTTTCCAAAACATTGTGTCCTCTAGTTTTTTAAATAGTGGGCATTGGACAGTGTCTTAAAGAGTGTTTTAGGCATCTGTTATATCATATGTCATTAAATATTTTAGAAATTAATGTGACATTATTTGTGTATATGAATTTGATGATTTAGAATCAATTTTATTATCTACTTATGTAAAGAAATTATAAAAGAATAATGGTAGTAATAAAAGAAAGGTGAAGCTATCCCTGTAACAGGCCATGAGGGCCCATAGAGTAGTGAGATGTTGAGGTTCCCACATTTTCTGTAGACAGTCAGCTCACAGATGGTGGTAAGGTTGTCAGCCTTATGCACTGGACACCCTTTACCCCCCAGGAGGATTCCTGGTACTTGTTTCTGTTAGAGGCTGAATCAACCTCAGGGCCATGATGCGGCTGGAAGGATTAGGTAAATTAAAAAAATCCACCTCATCTGAACTTGAACCTGCAACCTTCCTTTTTGTAGCATAGTGCCCCAACCAACGATGCTACGGCTGCATGTGGATACAATATTTAAAATGAAAACTTGGTGACCTTGCCTCCCCACAGCAGTCACAACACCCTTTGGGGTGGGGGTGAATCCCACAGTTTCACCCCACCCAAAAGGGGGTTGTGATTGCTGTGGGGAGGGGAGGGGAGGGGAGGTCATCAAGTTTTCATTTTAAATATTGTATCCATATAAACTTTTTTTCAAGTCAGTAACATTTTATTTAGGTGCTTTCAGAAAATATTAAGTGCAACTGCAGAAACAGTTTGTGTATTTTTTCATGGCTGTACAGGAATAATTTATTGCCTCTTGTAAGTGTAAATTGATTATAAAGTTATTTAGGTTCATGCTGTTACTGTAGACCCTGATAGGGACCTGCAGCAATGTGCAGAATTGAACTTTTCACTGATTGACAGAGATAGAGGGGTTTGTATAAATTTATGTGTTGCTTTAGGGTGTGTCAGTATTACAAAATGTGAGAACCCAGGTATACAAGTCTTAAAAAAGATTACAAATTTCTTGATGTGGTGATTTTCCGTAACTTCGTTTTATTGAAAATGTTGATTTTGCGTAAGAAAAGTCATTACCTCAGAAATTTATTAAATACAGTCAACTCTCGATTATCCGGGCTAATGGTGGGGATGNGAGTTACTGTAAGTAAACAGATGAAACTATGTCTTTTGGTGGTAGATGTCGCAAGAGGGAGCGAGGAAATTGGTGGTATACTCGTCAAGAACACACACTTGCTATCCAGTGCTATCGGCGTGCCCTTGATTATCTCGATGACATTGAAGGTGGAATAACTCTTAAAAGTGGAGAAGAGGACAGCAGCAGTCAGGTGAGGATACTGAGCTTGAGTAACTTTAAGCAGATGCTACAAGTCATCTTATCATCACCTTCACTGTTTTTCTGTTGAATGTTGTAGTTTGGTGAGATTTGACTGTACCAAGTTTCACTTCCTATTGTTAAAAGGTAAAGTTGATTAAGCACCATGCTGTGAAAACATTTGGTGGAGTGAAGATATAGCTCCATGTATTCTTAACCTTGGCACTGGATGGAGGTGAGCTTTACAGCTTGGCTACTTTGCCCGCAGAGAAAGAGCCCTTAATATTTACTGGCCCAGAGCCATCCAGGAGATGCAGAGAAGAGAAAAATCTCTTGCCTCTACCAGGAATTGAACTCTGATTCCTTGGTAGTTCAGTCTCCAGTCTATCACCATGCTGACTAAACTACTATGGTACACTGTTCATTGATTTTGCAACAGTATAGTTTTGCTCAGTGGTCTGGGATTCCTCCATTCTGTCTCCTGATGAAGGAAAGAGAAGCTGTTTCCAAAATACTGTAGTCTGCAGGAGTCCAAAATATCAGTCAGAGGTAGTTATACACCATCATCAGAAACCTTGAGACTCAGAGCAAAATTTTTTTTCTGTGCTTTGCTGTATTTAAGATTCTCACGTCTGTGAGTGTAACGGTTGCTGTCTTCTGTGTTATGATGGCATGTCATCTGGTATAAATTTAGCAATGTTTTGGAGGAATATGCTGCTTCCATCTTCAGGGCCAAAAGTAATTAAAGCAATCAGCAAGTAGCAAGCTGAATGCATGAAGATCGAGGCAGTACTTGTATGTTCCTCCAAAACACACTGGTAAACTACATGGCATTATATCGCAGAAGACAGTGCTCTTCATTATTTTGTGTACGTGTGCATAATACGTTTTGTAGTGAAGCAGTTAAGGCAGTTAGTCCCCATAGATAGGTAACCACTTGTATCTCCTAATATGAAGCCACTTCAGTTCCCAAAGGTGCTCAGTTTAGTTGGTAGAGGTGTTCTCTGTTCCAGGGAATAAATGTTTGGAACTTGAGTGACATCAGATGAAGTTACACTGGTCATGATAGACAAGGTGGACACATTCAGAACACTGTTAACCTCTAAGGTCCGAATGACACGTATATATGATGCAAGCAGCAACCGGAGTTGGCCAGATGACACATATACATGACGCAGGACACCTGCACTCTTTGGGAGTGCTGACAGTTTGACCTTGGGTTTGAAACCAAAACAGACCTACATGAGGTCATGTCAGTGGTTCATTCCTTAGCTCTTAACAAAGAAGTTGTTTATCACAGTATTGGTTTTGATACTGTTTACGTTTAGATGTGACTGTTTATGACCTGTTCAGCCAAATATAGATCAGCTTTGTTTCGAGAACTGATGAGGAAATATTCTTCTGTGCGTGCATGTGAGTGCTTCCAGAGCCTTCAGGGAAGTGTGACGCATGCAAGGATTGGTTTTCAGTGACGAATTATCATTTAGGAAGTCAGAGTCAGACTGTCGTATAAGTCTTTGTATATTATTTTTATTTTGTGTCTCGGAAGAGGTATAAACCCACTGAGCCAGTATTACTTTGTGAGTAAAAGGAATCTTCGTCACCGTGACTTTCCGTATCAGTGTCGGACTGGCACCTTTTCGACTTCTATTACAGTTATTATTTTTTATTGCTAGTGGGGTGAGACTAAGTCCCTTGTACTGCTGCCGCTTCTGGCCTATTGTACCATACTGTTACAGTTACTTTGCATCACTATTTTGTGAGTCTTAGTCAATCAACTTAATTTATTCGATTTTGCTGGAAACCCCCCCTCCCCCAAGATAGAACCTGAAAAACATGCCCAATATTCCAAATTTCTCGATGCAGAAGAACTGGAAGAAATACTGATGGAAGAGGAATCTCATGAAGTGTTAGAAGATATCAATGCATTCATTGAACCTTGAGAAAATATGTTGTCATCGTCATCATCATCATCATCAGACAATGAGGCAGAGGAAACGGAAATTAGGTTTCGTGATAGAAGACCCGGGGATTCGCCAAAGGTATTAGACTTCACTGGTCCTCTGAGTGGAATCAACAGATCAGCTGCTGCCAATATAAATGCACAGTCCTCTCCTTTTTCCATTTTCATTCTGTTTTTCCAACAAATATTCCAAATCTTGTTACAAGAAACCAACAGATATTTCCACCAATTTATGCCATGCCAAGATGCTCCAGGCCCTTCTGTTCAACCTCCTGATGTTACAATTGAAGAGATATATAACTTTTTTGCAATAATTATCTAAATGGGCCATGATCAACGGGACACCCTCAAAGATTATTGGTCAAGAGATAAGCAGTTCTACACTCCATTCTACCGTAACACCATGGTATGAGGCTGTTTCTTCCATATTTTGAGATTCCTACATTTTGAAAATAATGAAGCTCCTCCAAATCGAGATGACTCAGACTATGATAGGCTCTGGAAAATTAGAAAATTTTTTGACAATCTCAACAACAAATTTTGTGAACTTTACAATCCAGCAGAACATCTTGCTGTTGATGAAGTCAGTGTTGTTCAAAGGAAGAGTGATTTTTCGTCAGTATATTCCAAAGAAACACAAAAGATTTGGTATAAAAACTTACAAGCTTTGTGATATTTTCGGGTATACTTATGACATGACAGTTTATTTGGGCAAACAAAGGCAACTTGCGACAGAAGAAATTACATCGACACATGGCATTGTTCTCCAGCTAATTCGAAGAGTAGAAGGCTTGGGACACAGAATTTACATGGATAGTTATTTCTGTTCTCCTGCTTTATTTGACGATCTTTTAGAGAGGAAAATAAATTCATTTGGCACCGTTTGCAATGATAGGCGTGGAATGCCACAAGACATTCGGCCCAAGTCAATGAAATTGAAAAAAGGGGATGTTGTTACAAGGGTCAAGGGGCATCTAAGTGTTGTTCGTTGGAAAGACAAGCGTGATGTGTATGTTCTGACGAATTTGCACCCTCCTCCATTGGAAGGCAACTTCCGAGAAGAATCCGGCCGTGCTGTCAAACCCCATGTAATTGAAGACTACAATGCACACATGGGCTTTGTTGATAAATCTGACAGGATGGTAAACAGTTATGACACTGCTAGGAGGACACGGAAGTGGACAAAGAAATTGTTTTTCCACATTCTAGATATGACTATTCTAAATGCATATCTATTACACAAGTCATGTGGTGGAAAAATGACACAAAAAGTTCCGCGAAATATTGGTACGGGATTTGATTCTTCAGTCGCATGAGGCGAATATATACCACGGTCAGTGGCGTTTCTTGGGGGAGCCCAAGTTCATCTGGGTCCCAACTGAGTCAACTGGTGGTGAAACATTCACAACACCGGCCAACCAAAGGAAAACAAAGACATTGTCATGTTTGTTTTCAAAATAAGAACCACAGAAGCATGCTCTACTACTGCAAAAAGTGTGACGTTGCACTATGTTTGGTGGACTGCTTCAAGAAGTGGCACACGCACGTCAGAGTGTGAGTTATCGTAAACTGTGAAGTGACGCAGTTCAAACTCGCATACAGTCTGAACAAAATATTATTGTATATAGTGTGATCATATTTACAGTATCACCATGATTCAAGGTTGAAGAAAAAACAATGGGTAAGTCCTTTGGAATTTCATAACATATATAATAAAGATTATGTTTTGCATTTCATGACAAAATATTCACAGTTAATTTTCATTTGTAAAACTTGCTCTTTTCTGTATATGTAGAAAATTTTATTGTCTTTCAGATTCTTTTTAGTTCATGTTTCTATGTTGCATAGAACGGAAAATATGCATTTTTTCTGAAAGTTTGCAATGATAATTAATTAGGGTGATTTAAATTTCGGCCATACATGGCTGCTGGCAATTTAAAAGTCCGTACGTTAAAGGTTAATAGGATGATTATTCGGGTTGCTCCTAAACATTACATGCTCATGTGTATGAGGTTGCAGGATTACAATTCTATTACACACTCACAATCTGTTTTCTTGAAGTTGTCTAGGCTGTGGGTTTATTGTTTGATCATTACATGACATTGGATTGTTAATTAATTAAATTAAACAGGAAATTTGGAATGAATGGAGTTCATTACTTAACATGTATTATCTAGCGAGCTGGATAAATGTAACAAAACTTTGTGCACAGTACTGGATAAAAATGTAAATTTTGTGAAGTCCAAATGTAAAGCAGCGCCCAGAGCACAAACACATTTTCAGGATCAAAGTATATTTTCATAGTAAGCATGAGGGTTGAGAGCATTGTCACACTGTAAGTTATATATTAAATGACAACTGCAGGTGATAGCCCAAAATTTGAATTGATTCCAGCACCTTGATTGGCTAGCCACAAGAAAACTGCCTTTGTTCTGGCAGTCAGTCAGTCAGATGTGAAGATACATTCAAATTCCATTTGCTCCTTTACACTTGTGGGGTTGGTAGGTTGAATGCATATCTGGCACGTGGAAAGAATTAATGTTTCCAGTCTATGTCCCTTTTCATGAGCTTTGTGGTGGCCCTGAGATCTTGCCAGTTGCAAATAGATTTGTTTTTATGTTGATAGGAAACATGTTTTCTCCAAACAACATTGCAAGAAATATATTTCCTACCAACAAAGGCTTCTCCTCTCCCTTTTCACTCATGTAGAAGCAAAAGAGTCTGGTGAAGACATAATTAAAAACGCCTCATTACCAGCCAATTGTCTAGAAAAATGTTGTCTCACAAACCTATGGGCCTCTGTACCCTGTTACAGGGATAGCTTTACCTCTTATTGCCAGGTTATTAGTATGGGGTTGGACTGCCATACCATCAGTTTGTTGTCACATGTTACTGACAAGTGAACAAATGTGATGCATTATTAAATGTTGATTGTTGCATGCAGGGAACAGAACAAGAGTTACATGAGCTGCTGGAAGATCGTCTGAAAGTGTACAACAATCTGGCAGCAGCACAGATGAAAATCAAGGCATATGATGCAGCACTGCAGTCTGTTGAAAATGTTCTGCGTTGCCATCCTAACAATGTTAAGGCAATCTTTAGGAAAGGCAAGGTACTGGTGTTTTAAATTTGTTGTGCTTGCCAATTAGTTCACAGGCATATGTCTTCTGTACTGTCTAAAACAGTACTGATTACAGTGTATGTGTAGCATGCATAGGAGAGAAGAGGAGTGTGTACAGAGCTGTGGTAGTAAGAGGCAACTGAGTGGACTAGGCATAGATGGGAGGATAAGGAATAGGATGGGGTAGGTTTATCTGGTTGAGGGTACGGATCAATGGTAGGATCTTGCAAATACAGTGATAAATGTTTGAGTTCTGTAAATTGCTGAGAATTTCAGAAGAATTACTTGGTTCCATACAGTTGATTGGTTAATTATTGTGTGTCAGTGTTTCTGTATATAATGTTGATTGGGAAACTCCATGTGAAATGGCCACTTGGAAGAAAATGGGAGGATATTATTAATATGTTTAATATTGGATGTTTTCTCAAAGAAAAATGTTGTAATTTAGAACACTATATGACTGCATCTGTTGGAACAGTACATAGATGTGCTCATTAAAAGCAAAACTTTACCAACAGATAGCAAATTCTATTTAATCATAAAAAAAAAATCAGGTATTTGCACCAGTTTTTAAACTGAGAACATAATCAACCTGATCACTACAGTTTTAGGATGGATAATAGTAAGTTAGTTATTTAGAGAGTGTGGGTTTCCCCATGCACCACGACCAGTTTGATCTATTATGCTTCCCTCTATGATATTCTACCAGTCTCTTTACCCTACCGATAAATGGTGTGTACCATCAGTCCCGCTGAGCAAGCGAGTTTGGCCACTTGCTTAGCAGTGTCTATAATGCTTCCCCCATCTATCAGAGGCCTTAGAGGCTATTGTTGGGCGGGAAACGTCCTGGAATTTGGCTCAGTGATCCCCTTTGGAGATATGAGGTTCTTTTATGTGCCGTAAAGTTACGGCACGGGACACACAGCTTAAAGTCCCTCTCGGAGGACTTGTTCCCTGAATTTTTCCGCCCTTAAAAATTCGATGACCTCCGCCGGGTATTTGAACCCGTGTACCATGAGTCATGAGGTGAGAACATTACCTCTAGACTACAGAGGCCGCTTGGATGGATAATAAGTATGTAGTATGTTGTGAGGATAGGACTGACTTAGAATTGTGTCAAGTGATAAGCTTTACTATTGCAGTGAAACTTCAATTTTGCTCTCTTGGATATTACATTTTTTATTTGGTCCCAGCAAAATAGCCACAAGAGCGGTGTTAAATTTTAACCAATCTTAATGTTTATCCAAACTTCTGTTTTTCCAAAATTTCATTTAATTTTGCAACTCCTGGTAATGAAAATATACCAGATTTTGTGTTCACAGTGTTCTGTTTTGAAACAAAAATTGAAAGAAATACTGGTACCATTCCACACATGATCATGGTGAAACAGGCAGATCTTTGCATACAAACTGAGAGCTCAGGAAAAAAGAAACAAGTGACATCGTTTGACTGGTTAAGAAGTAACAGCATTTGTAATTTAGTGTAGTTGTATTTACAGTGTTATTGAAGAAAGCAGTCTTCTGGGCTTTGGCGCCGTGTATATGTGNGTTATTGTTTGCAGACATATACTTTAAAAAGCAACAGACATTTTTATTTATGTTGCATCATTCTCATTTCCTTGATCTCACACTATTCAATTCTATATTTATTTTAGGTAGTCCTTTAGGAAGTGTAAAAATTAGATTTATGTTCAGTTGCTGGGAATTTAATTCTGGATGTCAGTCTCACAGCCCATCCCTTCTTTGACTGAGCTATCCTGGCTCTCAAATTAAGATGATCCGAGGTGAAAGAAGTCAGTTCTGAAGGGTTCTGAGATGATGTGGATTGTTGAATAGTGTGAAAATTAGGTTGTTTGATCTTTTATTAAAATACAATAACACCCCTGCCCCCCACTTTATGTTTCTTGATATAAGGTTTTCACTTATTTAACATTCAGTTTGATGACTCCAGGTCACTGAACAGGTTTATCTAGTGGCAGTGCTCTAGACTTGAATTTAGAAAATGTTCTAAAGAAAAATACACAAAGTTTTATTGATGCAAGTAAGGAGGTTGGCCTAGAAGTAAACACAGAGAAAACTAAGTATATGTTGTTGTCTCATCACCAAAATGCAGGGCAAAATCATGATATAAAGATAGGAAACATGTTTTGAAAATGTGGCATGACGATAACAAATGAAAACCTGATTGAGGAGGAAATTAAGAGGAGATAGAACTTGGGTAATGCTTGCTACCATTCAGTCCAGAACATTTTTTCTTCTCATCTGCTTTCTAAAAACATAAAAATTAGAATATACAAAACTACAATTTTGCCTGTGGTTCTGTATGGGTGTGAAACTTGGTCTCTGACATTAGGGGAGGAACATAGACTGAGGGTGTTTGAGAACAGGGTGTTGAGGAGAATATTTGGACCAAAGAGTGATGAAGTGACTGGAGGTTGGAGAAAACTGCATAATGAGGAGCTTCATAACTTTTACTCTTCTCCAAGTATAATTAGAATGACCAAGTCAAGGAGGATGAGGTGGGCAGGGCATGTAGCACGAATGGGAGAGAAAAGGAATGCATATAGGATATTGGTGGGAAAGCCAGAAGGATAGAGACCACTAGGAAGACCAAGACGTAGGTGGGTGGACAATATTAAAATGGATCTTAGACAGATAGGGTGGGATGGTATGGATTGGATTGATTTGGCTCAGTATAGGGACCAGTGGAGGTCTCTTGTGAACTCGTTAATGAACCTTTGGGTTCCATGAAATGCTGGGAAATTATTCTAAATTCTGTTCTGATTTTGTTTTTGTTATCTTGACTGAGGGTATTCATTGTACCACTAATAGGCCATCACTGGGTCCTTCCAAATCCATTCCAATTCATCACTCAACTGTCATCTTACCATCTGGCACTAAATAGTCACAATACGGAAAAGTGTTGTGAAATAACCCATGGAAGAAATGATCCCAAATCAATAATTTAGGTGTTAAATTTCCTCAGTTCCCCCCCTCCCCAGGTTTAGTTTTTCTCCCAGACATATTGGTCTAGTAATGATGCTCTAGACTTATTTTTGGGAGGTCTTTGTTTTGAATCTCAGGTGGGGCTTGGGCTGTCCTGTCGAGTTATTCGTGGTTCTACTTAGTTCCTCCAGGCAAATTCCAGGACAGCAGCTTGATTAGACTGACCACTACCTTCCAGATGTTTTCCAGTTCATTCTACTGTTCAGTCCTGTATAATCTAGATACTGACATCGTCATGTACCCCCTACCAAAGATTAGTGTTCAAACCCATTGCTTCCGAAAGCAACCTTAAATGGCCATTTTACTGCTGCTTCAAAGTGGTTCGGGTGAACAATAATTCAGTGACCACATCATCTATATGTTAAATCTATGTCTTTCTTAGTCATCTCTGTCTTCCATGTTGCTAGATTCTGGCTGCAAAAGGAGAGAACTCAAGTGCAGTGGCAGCTCTTCGATTGGCCAGCCAGTTGGAACCAAATAATTCAATGATCCGACAGGAGTTAATACGGATGTTGACATTACATAAAGAGGACATACAGCATGAGAAGAACTTGTATAAGAAGATGCTTGGACAGGACAAGGGCCCTGAAAACCTACCCAAGGATAAGAAAGTAGTGGTATGATTACTGCACTTTGAAGCTATCTATTTCATGCTCATATTCATTACATAAGGATTATATTTTGAATATTCTGTTACATGAATCAAGATTGTATTGCATCATGAAAGACCATATTACCAGTATGCCATTTGAGCCTCAAATCCTACAAAATATTGCATGCTTTATTCATGTTACAGTACATCACTGGTTAACCCTTCAGTGCCATAGTCCATGCATGGCATGCCAGTGGCTTCTGTCACATGTTGCAGAAGTCTGTACCTGGCACGCATAGTGCAGCGCTAAGTTTCAGCTCGTATTTTGAACTCTTATTATTCATGTAAAGTAATTCGTTTGGTATGAAATTAAAGAGGAAATTTCAGGTTATCATTTCGTATATTCGTTGTCCCACTTTGAACTACTTGTGGCAGTTGTAATACATTTGAATTCTCTGAAAAAGTTTTCAACTTCAACACTTGGTGCCTTATTGCCATACAAATATCTCTCTGCCCATGGGGGAATTTTTATGAACTAAATATGTTAGATCAATACTGTGTGCTGTCCTGCATGCTGATTGAATGAAAAATTGATTCTCTTGAAGCGTATTCTGACGAATGCTGCTTCTAGATTGGAATTTGTAATCTTGAGAAGACGTGGAGAATCTACAACTTTGAGACATGATGTTGACTCTAGAAGTGTGTTATGACTGCTATGTAGCAAATGATAAACAGTTCACTGTATGACTGATACTACTGCAATTCCCCTTTGTTCTATAAAAAGTGGCCAGCTGTGTTTTGTCATGACCAGTGGAGAATATATTTACTTCATAATGAATCAGAATAAAGTTTTATCAGATTCAGAGTTTGACACTGAAAATAGATGTTTGTGCTTTCCTCAATTCTCTGGTAAATGACAGAATTGAGAAAAGCACGAACATCCATTGGGAAAATATTCATTACTATAAGGGGCAAAAAGAAAATTTATTAATGCAATGATAATATATAGGAATAACACAGGGAAAAGTATAGGTCAATTCTCAGTCAGAATTCAGTTAATTGAGGGACTCTCTGTGAAATGTGCTAATGCTATAGAACATAAAGTGTTGGGTCGACAATCATCAGACAAACAAGGCCCCGTCTAAGAAAAAGAAATTTTATCACCAAGATTCCACCAACTGCGAAGATATCAAGACCCCAGAAAGAGCATGTTGTGTGTCAAAAACTGTGTACTGGTGTGACACGTGTGATGTTTGACTCTGTGCAAAATGTTTTCATGACTAACACACCCAGCTGAACTTCTAAGATAATGTGATACTATCATTCATAATTTTTATAGGCTTACTGTGCCAAAAGAATAACTTTAAAGAAGTGTGGATCAACACACTGATTCTATATACATATCTGAATGTAGCGTGAAAATCAGAAAAACAGAACTCCAGTTTTTCCCAATTTATTACACTTTAAGTGAAATGTTGCATTTACTGTTTTAAATGTTTAAATACCCTCCATTGCAAGGAGTGAGGAGGAATTAAATGTCCTGTGTCATTGAAGGGTTAATAGTGACTGGCTATAGGTAGGAAGACTGAGGTGTCAGAGTCCAAATCGTGGCAGGGTCAAGAATTTTCTCCTCCGTGTCCAGACCAGATAAGGGGCCCACCCAGCTTCCATCGAATGTGTGCCAGGGGATCTTTCCCTGGGGATAAAGCAGCCAGAGCGTGAATTTGATCACTGACGTCCCACTAGTTCAAAGTCAAGATAACGTGGATCTATACATCCATGCCCCCATACATCTTCTTGGTGTAGTGTGTACTTACAGGAACAACTTTACAGTATTAGATCCAGTGTTGGGAATACAGTATGTCAATAAATATAGGCATTTAAAACTATCGCTTCTTGTTGGATGTCCCTGTGCAAGTAGGATATAGAATTATAGCTGCACGTCATAACATCTTTTATCTTGAAAATTGAAGCAGCAGATTCCATAGAAATGTCAGAAATGATCTACCAGACTACACTACATCCTATTTCAGAAGACCTCTTACACAGGGATTGAACATTGAATCTATTTGGAAAGTAACTTTCATTTATCTTAGGCAAGTAATATAGGAGTGGGGTGAGCTTAAACATACGAGGTAGTGTCTGTACAGAATGGGTTATGATGTATCCCATGACTAATAATTCCACCAGCTGCAAAATTTGTGTTGTTATCCAGCTCTGTTCATGCTAAAATCATAAGTTCTATGTTGAAATCCATCATGAATTATGCAAGATTTGTGGCCAAAATGTAATGAGTGGAGGAACTCTTAAGGCACTGATGTAGGATGTTCAGAGGTGGGTGAACAAATGCCATGATGAAGAGTAAGGTGGTCAGCCATCTCACCAGTGTGATGGTGGTGATGATGATCAAAATGAAAGACAGCACTTCGCAATTTCAGAAGTTTTGTGTGAATTTCCACAATTTTCTCACTCCAAGTGACTACAGCATGTTTTCCTACCTGGATAAGTGGTTGGGATCACAGCCCATCAGCAAGAATGATGAGTTGATGGAAGGTATCAAAACATGGCTGAGATCACAAGTGGCAGACTTCTTGGACACAGACTTACAAAAACATATTCCCCAACATGATAAGTGCCTCAATTCCAGCAGTTACTATATTGAGAAGTAGCTTAAATATTTACGTATTTTTTGTATATAATAAATTCCTTTTTGCATTGCTTTTTGTTAACAACTCACTGGAAATTACTTTCCAAATAGGCCTTGTAGAAACACTGCAGTTTCTACTTTTGTGGAGGGATACAGTTTGTGGAACTGGGATGTGTTGATACACATGGAACAGCAGTCAAAGACATTCTTAGACCTTCTTATCTAACAGTGTTAATTTTTAAGCGGTGATAGTAGACGTCTCCAAGGATTTCAAAGTGACACCGGACATTAAACTTTGTTATCTCTGTAGATTATAAAATCATTTCTTAGTAAACTGTTCAGTTGTGCACTCGGCCTGCATAACAACAAGGATACTGACTGGACGGCCGAGAAATTGGAGTTAGTTTCACAGCATGGGAAAGAGAACCCTTACACCTGGCTGTAGGGTACTACACTGGTTTTCAGGGTGTATTTTTCCAAGTGTAAAGTGGGGTAGGGCATGAAACTGACCACTCATCTCCATATAGTGCCAAGGTTAAGAATGCATGGATCTTTACCTTCACTTCACTATATGTACTACCTGCTTTAATTCCCAAAGTCATCCCTCTTCCCATGCAGCACACAACTTTATGATGTGCCATGAAATGCTCAACTATATTGTAATGTTAAGTATACAGTCTTCACTATTCTGTCCTGAGATGGAGGCAACAGGCTCCTCTGAAATGTTGGTTGTTCTGTTTATCAATCTGCAAGGTGTCACATTCCAGAAGACGAGCTTGATACTCACTGCATTGTGAACCTCTGATCTCACATATATTCTAATATGCCATGAGGATGATTTAAGAAACACAGGAACCGCCAGTGCAGATAATGAATTATCATTTGAGAAATCTTGAATTCAAATCTCTGCACAGAAACCGTCTATCCTGATTGAGGTTTTTGTAGTTATCTTGAATCTCTCCAGGCAGATGCCATAATTGCAAATAAAATTAGGCCATGACCACTTGCTTTCCACATCCTGATTCAGTATTCACTAATTCTGCCATTCAGTACGATTTCATCTGTGCTGTTTAGAGCGTTGTTGAGTAAATGATATGTAAGTAAGTAAATAATCCAAGAGTCTAAAATCTGACATACTAATATAATAATATAATGTTGTTGTTGTTGTTATTATTAATATTAGTAGTAGTAATGTTTTTTAAAACATCTCTGAGGCTGTGTCATACCTTAAATAAACAGTCTTATGTAAGAAGAATCCTGCATGTTCAATGACATCTCTGGTGTATGTGTGTCTATATGTGTATATATCACTATGACACACCTTCAAAGATGTTTATAGACACAGTAAATATCAAACTCATTTATGTCTCCTGTTTCAGATTCCTTGGGGTATTCTGTTTGGTACATTGGCTGTCCTGGTGGCAGGATTCATGGCCTATCGATATAAGTTGTTATAAAGTTGGCAGCTGTTTGAGGTGGACTCTTCTGTTATGTATGTTGAAGGCTGGAAATGTGATTGGTGTGACATGTTGAGCCTTGATTCACATTCCATAATGAAGTGTTCATGCTTTGCATTATCATATACTTTGTCCTGATTTTCAACTGTTTTGTTATCCTTTCCTTTGAAGGAATTTGTTGTTTGTATGTGTTCTAAAAATATTAATATCTGGAATATTCAGTTTGCATAATCATTTATTTTCTCTATGAAACAACTCTATTTTATACTAAGTGCTGATTATTAAAGTGTAAGTTAATTTTTCTATGCCAGCTTAGCGGTTTTCCTTAAATTTGTAAATGTAGACCCATTGCTGACTGTCGTCTCTTAAACAGCATGTACTGTTCAGGACTCACAACTGTGGCCATGGTTGCAGTAATGATAGACACTCTTCCCCTGCCAGATATATGAAACCATAATCATACCTCCAAAATGTTGACAGTGCTGCCCACATGCAAACAGTGCAAAGACCCAAGAGTAGAGTCAACACCAAGATGGGAGCAAGATAAGATAACCAATAAATTTTAATCAACATAAAAATGTTTCTGAAATTGTATATTTCTTTTGTATAAATACCAGAAATAAGTGTTTTCATACATATTAAAAATAAATATGCTTCAAGAGATCTAGTCTTGGTTTGGTCATACAGAACCTATATCTAATAACAGAACATAACACCAACGTTAACTTCATCTTGCATAATGAGGAACTTCATGATTTGTACCCATCAGATATTTTGGCACATATGAAATCGTCAAGTATGACATGTTTTGAGGCATGTAGAAAACATGGATGACATTGCAGAGGCATACAAAATTTTAGTAGGAAAACTTGAATGACAGAGATCATGCAGAGGACATGGTTAGATAGAAAGTACTAAAATAGATATTAGAGAAACAGTGTGTAATGCTATGGACTGGATTCAACTGGCTCAATATGGTGTTCAGTAGGGGGCTGTTAAAAACATGGTAGAGGTTTCATGAGAGGTGGGAAACTTATAGATGTGCTGAACAACTATTACCCCACACTTTAATGCTGCCTTAACAAACAAAACAGGATTTACTTTAGCATAGAATAGGATCTCTTATCAGTGTGTGTGTGTAGTGGTGCTCCATTTACTCTTCTATACTGAAGATGAAAGTAGCAGGTTCCTCTGAAATGTTGGTACCTACCTGTCGTGCTGCATGGTGTCACGTCTTAGGAAACATTGATTTCATTTCTAACTTTTGTATGCGCAGTTTTTGATGTGTCATATATTTAAAAACTCCAACATCAACAGCGTTCAACTTTTCTGCTTTTCATAGCAGTATGATGAAAACAGTGAAATATCCCGGTTTTTGTTTAGTTCCATCAAAATCACTTCTGTAATTGCAACTCATTGCCAGTAATTGAAAGAAAAGAAAGTTGTTTCTGTTCTTATTTATGCACTTGGCTGCTTTGCTGCCCAGTAAGAGAAACCCGTGTTATCTTTTTGGCAGGGAGTTGGATGAGCTCCAAAATCAGTCAGGACTGGTGTTGAGGACTAAAATCCCAGTCCTTGCAGTGAATCAAATCATAGTAGTCTGCCTACACATGGCTGAGCTCTCCCATAAAATAATTGATTTGTAAACTATGAAGTATGCCCTCCCCCACCAAACAGGAGTACAGTGTATCTAGTTACTCTTAATAAAAAGCACAATAGACCTCTGTAGGTCGCAGTGCAAGGGCCGAGAAGGCCCTCCCCTTATACATTCATACTCGTATTAGTTCATTTCCAATGAACCACAGCAGATAACATGGCACATATGCCGTCATCTGAGGGGTGTGAGAAAACTAGGTACAACAATATGAAATTCTTGAAGCTGCTTAAAATGCTCAAAAGGACATACTTCAGCCACACATAATTATACCAGAGCATGCTGAAAATCAAATAAGATCAAGGCAAGCTAACATATGTAACCTGACATCGCCAATGTCACTGTATGTAACCAACCATAACCACTTTCAAGGAATTATTGAAGTTGATGTATTATTATAGGGAAATTTTCTTGTTATGTAATCCACCTACCTCTAACAATTGGTGTAAACTATAATGTGTACAACATTTTGTGCAGATTAAGGTAAAGAGCACTGAGTTTAAATTTAATTTTCTGCTTCCATATCATGAGTACTTGCTAATGGATGTCACTAAACAGTATCATGCTCTGATGCCTCTGATGAGCATTTATTCCAAAAATATGAAGATATTAACTTATACTACCCCTTAGACAGGATTGTTGCAGGTCAGAAAGAAAGAAAGAATATTAAGCTTCATGCTTTCATCTAGATGTACCTTTGAAAAATGTAGTTAACAATATTGAAGCAGAGTAGAGGGAATTATGATCTAACAGCAGAGCAAACAGGAAACCAAAACATGGACACTTTCTTGTACTGTTGCTACAAATGTTACCAAAAATACTTCAAATTTGTTTAAGTGGTGGAAAGACATCAGTACATGAACAACTATAGTGTTTAAACATAAAATAATAATTTCTATTCATTTAGAGAAAGGTTGAACATTCTTTTCAACCAGATCAGGTAGTAAGCATAAAAGATCACTAGATGACTAAGGAAATCACAGGCTTAGTGTTTTTCACTACAAACGTGAAACGCACTGCATCTTCTGGTAAACAAGAAACTCAGCTGTTACCCTGCATAATACTGAATGTAACTGTAATAATTCTATCTTATTATTCATATGCACTGCAAGTGTCAAATACTGTGTAATTCAGTTAGTACTGAATTTAGTTGTAATTCTATATAATTGTGAATAAGCACTGCATCTATATGCATGTGTCATGGTATATAATTCTGTATAACATTGAATTTAGCCCTAATGATTATATAAAATTGTGCATAAGCACTTCATTACAGCAGTGAAACCTCACGAATTCAGAATTCGCGATAATATGGACAGCTGTTTTTTTGTTTCTTGCTCATGATGACATTGAAGATCACGTGAATCACATTTTATAACTTCCCAGAACATTTTTTTCAATAGCATTTATGTAATTCATACTTTCACTAATTTGGGCAAGGGTTTGCTTCCAATTAGTGAGGTCTTAACTGAACTTGCAAATGTCAAGCATTAAGCAAGTGTGACTTGTTAGTTGTTGTAACAATACAAGTTGTACCTGAGCATTGCACATATGCAGAAGGACAACTATCTTATAGTTTTGGTGTAATCATTGCTTAAATTTTTATATTTGTGGGAAGATGTAATATCCATTCATCTCCAACTTATTTTTATGAGATGTGGGCACGTACCATGCACCACACAACTCTACTTGCTTGATTTACAAGTGTCTTGTTCCTTGCAATTGGTAGGTTAGAATGCCCTTATCCATATGAATATACTCGTAGATAGTAGGTTTACCATTTCCTAAGTGCAAACTATACATGTGGAAACTTATGTCAGGTGTAAGTGGCCTCCGTAGTCTAGAGGTAACGTTCCCACCTCATGACTCGTAGTATACGGGTTCAAATATCCGGCGGAGGTCGTCGAATTTTTAAGGGCGGAAAAATTCAGGGAACAAGTCCTCCGGGAGGGACTTTAAGCTGTGGGTCCTGTGTTGTAGCTTTACGGCACGTAAAAGAACCTCATACCTCCAAAGGAGGTCACTGAGCCAAAATTGCGGACGTTTGCCGCCCAACAGCAGTCAGTAATACCTCCAGTAGATGGGGGAAGCATTATAGATACTTCTCAGCCAGTAGAGCCGGTCTGACTGGCTGGGCGGGACTGATGGTAAACACCAATACCGGTAGGATATAGAGGCTGGTAGAAATCATAGAGGGAAGCACAATGGACCACTACAGGTCTAAGTGCATGGGGAAACCCACCCTCTCTAATAACTAACTAACTAAGTAACTATGTCAGGTGTAAGCCCCTTGTCAATTTATATCTGTTCTTGCTTGGACTTAGCTGTAACCTGTCATTTCCTTGTAGTGAAATAGTCATACCTCTCTTTGAAGAGAAATCTTACACAGATATATCGGAGCTAGTTCATGCCATCATTAGATTTGTGCCGCTATACAGATAACACAGTTGGAGTCCTTTTAAAAACTCATACATGAAGTATGCCACAGTGGGCAGCATGCTAAAACTATTGACTACTATACTTCAGTCGAACTCCTGCCAATTCTCACATCATACATTTGCTTCATGCACTTTGTGCATGTTTGGCAGACTTCTTGTTAGATATTCTGGCCTGCACTCATCATCTTATACTACGCTTTCATTTTCCAAAAACTTGGAAGGAAGCAAAAATAATAACTTTCCCTAAACCTGGTAAAGACCCAAAATTCCCTCAAAATTTACATCCGATCAGCCTCCTGTCCGTGACAGGAAAACTATTTCAAAAAGTGATTTTGAAATTCCTCCAAAAACATATTGAAGAAAGAGACCTAGTCAACGCAAGCCAGGTTGGTTTTGTGCATGTCACAGTACGTCATTGCAATGTATGAGGCTGGCGGACCACGTGACCCCTAATTTCAATAATAAAATGTCTACAGCTGTGGTGTTCTTGGACATTGAAAAAGCCTTTGATACCATGTGGCACTGGCTTGCTGTATAAGTTATCAAAATTGGAATTGTCGAACAGTTTGACCAAGCTTATTGGGTCCTTTCTTTCTCAGCGTAAATTCAGGGTCTCGGGTGAAGGCAAAATGTCAACGCCCAGGGAAATGCAAGCAGGGGTGGCACAAGGTTTGGCCCTTTCCCCTACTCTTTTCAATTTCTACATAAATGATGCCCCCCAAACACATGGTGTTCACCTGGCCCTCTTTGCGGACGACACCTGCCTGTATGCGACAGATCGCAAGGAGGGTTTTATTGTTAGAAAACTCCAGCGCGGTCTCAGCTCAATGGAGACCTGGAGACCTGGTATGAGCGCTGAAATATAAAAATTAATGAAGATGAGACTCAGGGGTTCTACTTCTCTCGTGGTCGTCGATCGCCTGAGTCATGTCCCACTCTAAATGGATGAAATATTCCATTTGTAAATAGTGCAAAATATCTAGGTGTAATCTTCTATAAGAGAGTGACATGGAGATTACACATAGAAATGATCAAAGCCAAGGACTTCAGAACAAACATTAGAGTATATTCCCTATTCAAAAATGAGCATTTGAGTGCTAACATTAAGCTGACCCTCCACAAAGCTCTCATTAGATCCGTAATGACTTATGCTAGTCCCGCCTGGGAGTTAGCGGCAGACACTTATCTAGTGAAATTGCAGTGCCTGCAAAACAAGGTTCTCCGCACGATTGGCAATTTTCCAAGGCGCACACCGGTCCGCGATTTGCACATGGCATTCAAAATCCCGTACGTATATGATTACATAACAAAATTATGCAGGCAACAAGCAGAAGTCATACAAAATCATGATAATGAGAATGTTCGCAACATCGGACAAGGCGAAGCCCGACACAGAAAGTATAAGAGGCTTAAATTTGGCGGCGGTCAGGCGTANTTTCATTCAAAAGAAATATCTGGTCATGAGCCCCGGCTGGGGCTCGACGCCAAGACAGACAGACTGACTGACCGTCAGTTGCAACGTGACTCTGACTCTGAAAATGCGTGATAATGTGGGATTTTCCAACACCTCTTCCCTTAGATGGTAGTTTTCTCTTTATGCTATCTCTGTACCAGGCCATGGAGGTCCTTACTGTTGTAAAATGTTGAAGATCCTACATTTTGTAGGCAGTAAACTCACAGAGGGCGGAGAGTTTGTCATCCTTATATGCCAGGCGACCTTTAACCCCAGGTAGATTCCTGGTACTAATTTCAGTAAAAAGCTGAGTGGACATAAAATCATGTATAATGATTCATGGATATGAAGTGAATAAATAAATGAACACCAGAAATGCAGCCAGTTGGGACTATTTTGACAAATCTGAATGAAGTTTCCATGTGATGTGAATCTCCAATGTTTCTGCTCTTCTCTGTGGCATGACCTTTTGGCATATTTTACTTTTCTGTAAATATTCATGGAGGACCAGATGAATAGTCTTCTAATGGATGTTTAATTCATTCGCCATCATTCTGAGAGCCCATCGATGATCTTGTACTTATCATTTCAAAGACAACTGCTATTCTGTCTGCATTTCTAGCAGTTGAAAGACACCTGCTTCTTGGATCATACTGAAGATCATCATGCCCATCTTTGAATTTCTTAAATCATTCAGATACACTGTTATGACTTACAGCTTCATCACCTTAGACAGTTTGCAACATGTCATAGGTTCTTTTGGCATTTTTTTCTAGTTCATATACAAAATTTTGTATTCATTCATTGCCTCATGGCTAAAAAGTGACAGCAGTTAAAAACACAACCAACTTCCTGAGCTGCTGCTCGTGAACTGCCAGTGATTGGATTTTTTGACCACTGCTAATTGTTGGTATATATATGAGGGAGAGTCAATAAATAGGTCACAAATGGAAATGAAACAAGTAAAATGGATGTAGTAGGTTTCCTGTTTGTATCACTAGGTAGCAGCACAGTCCAGGTACATGACAGTCTAGGAAGCAGGCATGTCCTGAAGCTGATTTCAGTAGTCAAAATGGTGACTGTGCTTGAGGTGGATACTACCAAAGAGCACTGTTCTGTTGTGCGCTCTCTTGCTGACAAAAGAACTCGATGCAGATAATATTCGTAAAGAAATGTTTCCCATTTATAGTAGGATGTGTTCTTCAAGTGAAGTGGTTGGCAACTGGGTCGAGAAATTGTCTGACGGATATTTGAAAGTCACAGATGTCTCCCAACCAGGTGTGCAAGTAGCTGAGGCAAAAGTAAAAAGAAAACTTTTATGCTGCAGTTTTTGATGAAATGGTAAAGCAATGGGACGAGTGTATCAATGTTGGCGGAGGATATGCTGAGCAACAAATGTTTTTTCCGTGTTTCATGTTTTTTTTTTTTGTATCAATTTGTGACCTACTTACTGACTATTCCTCATAGGACTACACTTAGTATTTGGCTGTAGCTCCTTTCACCACCACCTAATGCGAATGCTGTGGCATCAGTGTGGGAACTTTATTGCCAGACTACATAGAGTGAGGTGAACAGACAAATGTATGGACATGATGGTTCTATAAGCCTATCAACTTTCCATAAAATAATAAAAGTATGCTTATAAAATGGTCTTTGAATCAGCATGGCTGACATAATGCTTTGTGGAGCCTGAAGTTATTGGCAGTGATGATTTTGAGGAATGTGACAGCATATAGGTAAGGAAAATCATCAGCAGAAAGCAAATCAATTGACAGTTTATAAACATATGTAAAAAGACACCATCAATATTCATGGTTTTGTTGACATGACTGTTGCTTTCACTACTATAATTCTGGTGCAAAGGCCCAGTGTTGTTACAGTTTTCTTCAGTTCCTCCATTCAGATGCTGGCATTGTATCTTAGAATGAGTCATTACTTCCTTGTAGGAGTACATCCTGACTCGTCATTTGCATTCTTATGCTTTATTGATGAGGAGGTTCTTGATGTCATCCAGGGTTTGTTCGTGGCTTGCTGTGTTTTCACTGTAAAAACAACACAGCAAGATAGACAGGCGGCACAAAATCTGCCCCATACAAGAAGGACGATAGGAGTACGGACACGAGCCTATGTGGTTAAACAAAAATTAACTATTGACAATAAAGGTTTTTTAAATAACATCTAGAAACTTTTAAAAACTTTACAACACCAGGAAGCTGCTGTGATTGTGAAACGTTCGACTTTATGCGTACTGTGCATTATAGGACATAGTGCATATATTTTAAATCAAAACACCTATTGTGATGGTAGTTTCCAGTTTGTAATGATGTTCCCTCTGAAGAAGGTCCATAAGGACCGAAACATGTAAGGGAGATAAGTTTTAACGTAGTAAACTGGACGGAATGGTTTGTATTATAATTGTTGGTGTGACGGACCAGAATGAAACAAATCAAATTCTTCTAACGCTTCAGCTTTCAGGATGTCTAATGTCGTTATTTAATATTTTGTGGAGAATATCCACTGCTTATGTTCTTTTGTCTGTCAGAGCCCATGTTCCAGTTGTGCACTGTATTTAAAAGTAGCCTTGGAGAAATTACTTACGTGCGCATGAACGCGTTTGACAGGCGTGGTAGAGTGGTAGACTCCGAAGGCTCCGAAGTTTGTTTGTGTTCGCCGTAGGGTGCATACACATATGTTCGTTCTTGCGTAGTAGGATTTGTAATCTGAATTATGTTAGGAAATAATGACGGCGACGGCTCCCAAGATGTTTCTGATTGTTGTATACTATATGAACTTTTGATGTATTGTGAATGGATGCAAGATCCAGAGTTGCTGGTAATTCGTTTCATATGTTAACTATGAAATTGAGGTTAGAAATATGTAAGAGGATTGTTGCGGAAACATAAAGCCACTCTTTGTTTGGCAGGGTGGGGATTTGCTTACTGCTCATGAATACGCAACAGGAGTGTTGAATTTGAAGTAATCACATTGGTAGTTATGAGGATTTCTGTGTTATGGAATATAACCCTTTATAGTTCGTTTAAAATCAGCCGACGTTACGGAGCAACGTGTCCACCTTGAGGGTCGAAAGATACGCCAAACAAGAAAACTGCACGAAACACGTAGTAATTAGGCAACATGTACGCCTGAAACTTTGGCTGATTTTCATTGGACCACATGGCATTATATTCCGAGAGGTAAAACTCTTTAATGCAATAGGAAGTTTTCTGTTTTGAATGAGGGTTGGAATGGTTATATTGTTCGTATTGTGCCATGGGAACCATCTGTTTTGAGACCAGCGCCTGGAAAATGTGCAGTCCAGCAATTTTGGCTGTAGAACACTATAGGCTCTTCAGAGATAGGCCAGACTTCATGTTCATGATCAGTGAATTTATCTTGCATAACTTTTAAAGCCATACCAGATGTAGAAAATTTAACATTATAGCTGATAAAAGTATGATCAAGTCAAGGAGGATGAGGTGGGCAGGGCATGTAGCACGAATGGGGGGACGAGGAATGCGTATCAGATATTTGTGGGAAAGCCAGAAGGAAGGAGACCACTGGGAAGACCAAGGCGTAGGTGGGTGAACAATATTAAAATGGGATGGTTTGGATTGGATTGATCTGGCTCAGGATAGGAACCAGTGGAGGGCTCTTGTGAACACGGTATTGAACCTTCGGGTTCCATAAAATACTGGGAAATTCTTGAGTAGCTGCAGAATTGGCTTCCTTCAAAAGGGCTCAGCTCCATAAGTAAGTAAGTAGGATGATAAAAGTATAAGAGCATTGGCATGGAGCGATAGCAGCAGCTTCCTCCCAGAGCTCCATCCACCTTTACTGTAATTATACAGTCTTACTACATGAAAGGAAGCAGTAAATCCTACTTTTATTTTATTTGAATTTTTTATATTTAGTAATACATTTGTCCTTTAATAGAGATTAATGACACACACAAACAGAATTTCTGTGACACATTGATTCTGTGGTTGATCATTTAGTTAATTTGTGTATTTGTAAAATCTAGATAAATATTGTGACATGTCAGCTGAAAGGCAAGAATAATGGAACCAGAAAAAATTGTCTGCTGCTAGGTAATAGCTCAGTAAACATGTATTGTGGTGACGGATGCATATATGACAATAGAGGAGCTGTTGGAAGTGGTGTTATCAATGCAGTTGGTCCTGAGGCTATATAAAGAGGACCAAAGGAACAAGTTAGTTAGGAGAACCACCTTGTTCCAGGGGGATATAAATATGGATCTGTGATGGAATCTTTTATAAGCTACAGGGTGCTACTATAATGAAGTTTGGAAACCATTGCATTAGTTTATGTAAGTTACAAGAAAGAACTTGGAATGTAAATTGCTGTATTAAATTACATTATATTTTATATCAATCTGTCATTACTTTCTGGAATCGTGGTTTAGTAAAAATACAATTTGTGCAGAGTGTATGTTGGGGATGATCTGTACATGGGCTATGTTGAACAGACTCTATACCATAAGATCTGCTTATAATGGAATTGCGAGGAACCTGAACATTTATCTTTTTTTCAGGTGGGTTTTCATTATTATGGGTACATTCCACATGTATATATAATCTGAGTCACAGGCCAGAAATTCATGTTATGTAGTATGTACCCCACACGATTACTGAGCAGCACACCTTTTTGTTTTCCTTCCTCCAGTCAGGTTCGCTCAAGTGGTAACAATTCTAACTTGTATTCACGACGTGCCCGGTTTGAATCTCAGCTGGGATGCAGACTGTCCCGATCATGATTTTTTTGGCAGGGAGGTGTCCTTCTGTTCCTCTGTTCTGTTCCTATAATACCTTAATTTAGGCCATGCTCACTTCTCTCTGTATTGTCTCAAATTCATTTTCACTGTCATCTGATCATTTTATGCTATTTAATCTTAGTTTTTGTTAGCATCATGAAATTTGTTTACTTTTCCTGCTAATAAGTTTCATTCTACACGTACCCTGCTTATTTATCGTAATTCCAAGTCTAGATTTTAATTTTAGTTTTGTTCTCAGACTAATTCTAGGAAGATCAGTATAGAGCAAAATTACATTAACAGAATGAAATGAATATTTATGTAGACTATTTCTTTGATTAGACTCTTTCCTTTTAAGTATTTGTTTTTAATACCCATTTCCACAGTAAACCATGATTATTTATTATAGGGAATTTTATACTGTTTTTATCTATATAGTCTTAGGATCAGAAGCATTTTCTGATAGAAGTAGGTTTCCATTTATCACGGTTCCACTCTAGAGGGATGCTAATGTACCTGTAATTGCCAACATTTGTGCATCTTGGTGTATATATTCAGGTGAAACAGTTGCATAGGTTTTGTATAGTATCAAGTAAATGGTGAATGATGAGTTGGAAGCAAGTGGTAATTGCATATTGTAAGACATTATTCCAGCATTTGTCTGGAGGGCCTGAGGAAGACTCTTGTACTTCATGAACTTGTATCTGAGATCTCCGGACTATGAAGCAGGAATGCTGTTGAGTACATTTGTATGAAGACAGACATGTGATTATTTTCACAAAGCTTTTCTTTAATTCTTGTTCGACTTTTGACTTGCTGTGTTCCTGTTGAACAGTTTTGTTGTCTGGGATATAATGCCATTAGTCTGTTGAAAGTCAGCTAGTGTTTTGTAGGAACATGTGAGCTCCATCTTGAGGGTTGAAGAATAAGTCACACAAGAAACCAGCATATAGCCGGTAGCAAGCAGAGCTTGGCTTATTCTTTGACCATGAATTTGGAGGCAACATGTTCCTCTGAAGCTTCAGTTGGCTATCAGTAGACTACATGGTATTATATCTCAGAAGATATAACTCTTCATAACCACTGCTGTGAGGACTTAAAATCATACATATGTTCTTTTTTCTTTACAGAAATGCCCTAGACCTGGTGACACTCAATTTTTTTCTGGAAGTACACATAAAAACCCTGCTAAATACATTTGGAAGTTTTTCAGCAATAGAGAGTCGGTGTGTGGTGAAGTACAGAGGTGAGGATTTGTAGAATAGATGACAGTTACTCATTTTATAAATAAATTCTCTTGCCTTAATGTAACCTAAAGATTTGTCACGGTATTCACATTCAGAAGAGAACCACAGAACAGAAGACCACTCTGTGACCTGATTCACTTGTAGCCAGTCCGCATCTTCACATTCTGTTTCTCTGATATAAAATGTAATATTCTTCCATCTTTGCATTTTTTTTTCCCCAGAAGGTCTCTTCCCTTCAGATTTTCTGACCATAATCTCAAGTGCATTTCTCATTTTCTTCATGTAATGTCCCATCCTTGTTGTGCTTGATTTAATATAATAAGTTAATTTTCGCTTCAATAATTATTTTGTTGGAGACCTGTAATGAATTGTAAGTCAGTTTAAATGTGTGTCCATAACCATCTGAAAAAAATCGATTGTGTATGGTCCTGCAATTGTGAATGTTAGACATAGGTGTAAGGTAAGAAAAAGGTAAAGCTATCCATGTAACTGGTTGTGAAGGCCCATAGTGTTCTGGGATGTCAAGGCTCCCACATCTTCTAGACCAAGGGTCTCCAAACTACGGACCATGGGCCACATACAGCCCGCAAAAGAATTATGCAGAAATGCGCCAATTGAACTAATTTCAAGTGAGTACTGGTAAATGTGATTCCGAGCTTATTGATCTGACATATTATACTGCAGTTCGATGGCTTAGCTGTGGAAAGGTTCTTTCACGCTTGTTTCAGCTCAGGAATGAAATTGATATATTCCTTACTGAGAAAAACCATCACGAACCACTTTTATCATATACCGAGTAGCTTTGGAAATTAGCATTTTTTGCTGATCTGGTGAACTGTATGAACCATTTGTATTTAAAGTTGCAGGGTGAAAGTAACTTGGTCTGTGATTTATTTGCACTTATCATGGCATTTAGAGCAAAGTTGATACTTCTGGAAAGGCAAGTGAAAAATTGTAACTTCGTTCATATGCTATACTGTGCAGAGTTGCATAAAAAGGGTGAAGCAGAATTTGCTTCCTCATTTGCAAATTTAGTCATTTTAGATTTGAAGAACAATTTCAGAAGCGATTTGCTGATTTGGATTCCAGTGCTCAGGAAATTAGATTGTTTCAAAATCTGTTTGACTGTGATGCTGCAGATGTCTCAAGTCAAATTCAAATGGAAATTATTGAACTTCAGGAAAATTATCATATTAAAGACAAATACAAGGAAGGAAATTTCATCGAATTTTATAAATTTCTGAACTCTGAGCAATTTCCAAATTTAAAGAAATTTGCTTGTAAATTTATCTCCATTTTTGGGACGACATATCTGTGTGAACAAACTTTTTCCCAGATGAAGTACATCAAGTCGAAATACAGGGCAAATTTATCCGATGAACTTTTAAAGTCGCTACTTGTGATTAGCGTTTCAAAATTTGAACCTCAATTTAATCAGATTTTAAGAATGCAAAAAGAGTTCCATCATTCACATTAATTGTTTTATTATAATTTGTGATGAAAATATGAGCATTTGCTGCTACTGTCTGTTGTCATTAATATACGATAATTTATTCTCACGTACTTTGTATTTAGTTTATGAAATTCTGTGCTTTCAATAAAACTCATATACCTAGAGTTATTAATTTCTCATTTTATCCGGCCCGTTGAAAGTGCTGAATTACCTAATGTGGCCCACAGTTCAAAAAGTTTGGAGACCCCTGTTCTAGACAGTCGGCTCACAGTTTGCGGTAAGGTTGTCAGGCTTACCAGGAAAATTCCTGGTATTCATTTCTGTTAGAGGCTGAGTCAACCGCAGGGCCATAGTCCAGCTCGAAGGATTAGGTAAATTGAAAAAAATCCAATTACCTCATCATTAATCAAACCTGCAACCTTCTGGCTTGTAGCCTAATGGCTTAACCAACTATGGCACCGTGTCCCCCAGACGTAGGTGTTATATTTTGAAAGAGCAGAAAGATGTGCTCCAGTGTAGAATACACAGCATTTCATGATATTTTATATTTTTTTCTATTCCACATTGATTTTTTCCTCATTTATTGTGGCTACAACTGTGTTATTGATAGAGATAATCAGCAGTAGAAACATAATATTGGGTAGAGGCATAAATTGTGATTTTGAAACAGTTATTTTATTAAATATCCACTGTATTGAAAACACTTAAAATAGCATTGCAAAATAGCATAGCATTGAGATGTTTATTTTATGGCATGTACACATCTGCTGTAATTTTAATTATGCTTCCTTATTGTCTTCAGACTTCTTCTGCAACAGCTTCCATGGCATTTTGCAGTAGGTGAAGGGGGCAAGGTGGTTGCCATACTGCAGGACACATTACTTGAAATCCGAACTTCCAGAGATGAGTACTCGTCTGTTGTTGGAATGGCTTCCAGTAAGTGACTTAAAATTGTATAAAATTATAACACCCATTGAGAATCAAAATAAAAGGGAACAAACCAAATTACAGTGGTTACAGAATCAAGCGAAATACAAATGGGGATAATCTGAACAATATAAGCATGAAGCCAGCAGGCATTTCAGGATTAAAAAGAGGGAATATTTGAAAGACAGAATTAATGAACTTGCAACAGACAGTGAAAACACATGATGATAAGCACCTTGGTCGAAACATGTAGTGAAGATCTTATGAACTTTTAAACTTAATAAATTTTATAAAACGTGTTGCACGTGAGACTGTAACTAATTGATGCTAAGTGAAAAGTGCAACAGCATGCTACAATATAATATTAAGAACAAGAACGTTAGAGACGTGTACAGAGGACTAAATGAATTGAAGAGGGGTTACCAACCTAGCAGTAACATATTGGAGGATGAGAATGGTGATCTGCTAGCAGATTCCCCCAACATTTTGAATAGTTGGAAGAACTACTTCTCTCAGATATTGAATGTACATAGGGTCAGTGATGTTAGGCAGACAGAAATCCATACAGCTGAGCCGTTAGTATCTGATCTTAGTCATTTTGAGGTTGTAAGTGTTATTGCAAAGTTTAAAAGGTATAAATCGCCAGGTAGTGATCAAATTCCAGCAGAACTGTTTCAATTTGGAGGTGAAACATTATTGTCTGAGATCCATAAACTACCTATTTCTATTTGGAATAAGGAAGAATTGCCTGATAAGTGGAAGGAGTCTATTATTGTACAGTTTACAAGAAGTGCAATAGAACTGAGTATAGTAATTATTGGGGGATGTCACTGCTATCAACTTTATACAAAAATTTTATCCAATAACCTTTTCTCGAAGTTAAATACATATATAGGTGAAATTATTGTGGATGATCAGTGAGGATTTTGACATAACAGATCAACCACTGAGCAAATTTTTTTGCATTTGTCAGATAGTGATACTATGAGACAGTACATCACCTATTGGTAGACTTCAAGAAAGCCTAGGATTCAGTTAGGAGAGAAGTTTTGTACAGTATTCTCATAGAGTTTGGGATACCCATGAAACTAGATAGGGTGGTAAAAATGTGTTTAAATGAAACATATAGTAAAGTCCATATAGGTAGACATTTGTCGATAAGTTTCCTTTCCGCAGTGATCTAAAATAGGGAGAGGTTTTATCACCATCACTTTTCAACTTTACTCTAGGATATGCTAATGTGAAGGTCCAGGAAAACCAGGTTGGACTGAAATTAAACGGGACACATCAGCTGCTGGTCTATGCTGATGATGTGAAGCTACTGAGAGATAGCATAAATACCATCAAGAAAAAGACATACAGTCAACTCTCGATTATCCGGGCTAATGGTGGGGATGGAANTTGACATTAGTTAGGAGGTTGGTCTAGTAATAAACAAAGAGAAAACCAAGTATATGTTGCTGTCTTGTCACCAGAATGCAGTGCAAAATCATGACATAAAGACAGATGTTATGAAAATATGGCACAGTTCATATATTTTGGAACAAAAATAACAATCAAACCTTTATTCAAGAGGAAATTAAGAGGAGATTGAATTTGGGTATTGCTTGCTACCATTCAGTCTAGAACCTTTTGTCTTTTTGTCAGCTGGCAAAAAAACATAGAAATTACAATATACAAAACTAATTTTGCCTGTGGTTCTGTATGGATGTAAAGTTTGGTCTCTGTCATTAGGGGAGGAAAATAGACTGAGGGTATTTGAGAATAGGGTGCTGAGGAAAATATTTCAGCCAAAGAGGGTTGAGGTGACGAGGGTTGGAGAAACTGCATAATGTGGAGCTTCATAACTTGAATTCTTCACCAAGTATAATAAGAATGATCAAGAGTCGAGGTTTTCACAGCAGTGACTATGAAGAATGGTGCCTTCTGGGATATGGTGCTGTGTAGATCTAGTGTAAACCGATGATTTGGAGGAACATATCGCCTCCATCTTCAGGGTAGAAAAATCTGCAGCAGCCACCTGCTCACACTTGTTCTTCTCTTGTGGATTTTTCTGCCCTGAAGTTGGAAGTGATACACTCCTCTGAAACGTCAGTTTACACTAGATCTACATGGTGCTACATCTCTTAGACGGCATTCTTCATAAAATGATCAAGTCAAGGAGGATGAGATGTGCAGGACCTATATCATGAATAGGGGCAAGAGGAATTCATGTAGGATGTTGGTGGGAAGTCAAAAAGGAAAGAGACCATTAGGAAGATCAAGATTTAGGTGGGTGGGCAATAAGGAAATGGATCTTTGAAAGATAGGATGTGGTGATATGGACTGGATTGATCTGGCTCAGGATAGGAACCAGTGGGAGACTTTTGTGAAAATGGTAGTAAAGCTTCAGGTTCCATAAAATTTTGGGAAATTCTTGAGTAACTGCACAACTGGCAGCTTCTGAAGAAGGGCTCAGCTCCATGGAGTTGGTTGGATTGAGAACTGAAAGGGAATGCTACTCATTAGTAATATAAGTTTGCTTATTATTTACTTCTGCTTTCTTCCATATATCTTTCCAGTCATATGTGTTATCAAATAATTCTGTAAGGCCAAGGAAAAATGCCATCTCCCACAAATAAGAGACATAAACAGTCTTTTGTAAACCACCCTCTGCATATAGCATACTGTACTTGCATTATTTCTGTATTGTTCATCTTATCACAAAATTTTTCTTTTTTGTACTTGCCACAATATTTTGGTTTATGTCCATTCTTTCTCCATTAATATCACTCCAGATATTGCATTTCACATCCACACAGTATGCAGTTTGTATTTTCTATGATTGGTAGTTGCAAAGGATGCCAGTCCACAGTTACGGAAGCTGACATGGAGTCCAGATTCTAGTATGCTTGCTGTTGCCCATAGTAATGGAGTTGTATCTTTCTATGACCTTCTTGGCAGCAATGTTTTCAACATTTATCCAGTAAGTATATTTAAGCATCTTAACTCTTTGACTGGTGCGAAGGGTATTTAAATCCCACCCCTGTCCTAGCAGGCCCTTTAAACCTTATGTCGCTAAAATGCATGTAGTTACTTTTTCCTAAACAACTTCAACAAAAATTGGTTTTTAAAAACGAAATTTTCAGGAACTAATTAAAAGACAATATTTTATGCAATAAATGCCTTTCCATACCTCTTTATTGGTTTTTCTTCGTGTGATAAACATTGAAACCTGAAATTTTGCAGAGAGCCACACCACAGCCTGCACATATGACACTTGTTTCTTTTCTAATCTTGTGCTTAGCACTCACGCGACACTTTCTCAGGGCACCATTCTTCTTGTTACTGGGAGGAACATGGACCATTTTGTGAATTTTCAGGCCACCCTCTAGACGATTTACTGGCTCTTACACTGGTGGTATTTTCAAGGTCGAGGGCGGAGGCGTGACTGCACTCGAGTCTGACGCAATAGATTCGTCATCCACTTCATTCCTTGACTCTTCTCCCTCTCCACACTGTCTGTTTGGTTCAGTCATTTTTCTACACAGTCCAATATAAAATCTTTAAATTTGTAATTTCTCTTCTTGTATTTTTCGTTTGTTGTGTTCTTTTTGAATAGAATGAAACTATTCAACCGCAAAGACATGTTTTGTCCACACCATGGAGTGTGAAATAGGGGCCTAGTGGACAAATATTCTTCAATTTCAGGGCGTTTGTCGATTCCTGTCATGAACACAATTCCTAAGTATGTCCAGATTTCATCTGATGTGACATAATTGTAATTGTGTTTTCGAGAGTGAGGAGCTAACTCATGTGTGTTGAAGTGCTGGTGAGCATAGCGATTGGTTTCAGTTGTGATGTGATTTACCAAGTCGTCATCCAGAAAAAATTTTAATCCATGAAAAGGGATGCATTTTAAGTGTTATATTAATTTTGAACCCGAAACTACTAGCAAATAGAACTATTGTTGGTACAATGTCTCCGTACGTTCATGAGATGGGCGTGTCAGGCACCGCACTCGTGGTAGCTAAATGTCCATGATTACTGTCTTGTGGATCACTGTCTATCACTGTATTATTGTCACTATCAACTTTATCTAATTCAGGAATCATTATTTCATCATCACTATCATCATCAGCACAAATCTCCTTCACAACACTTTCCAGCTGGTCTGTAGGAACACGCCGACACTTGCTGCGAGAAGCCATGGTGAAACTGAATGAATGTTAAATAATTTCTGACCTTTTCCTTCTCAGAGGGTTCTGACAGTAATATAGACCCCCACAAAGTTTACAAGGGTTCTTTACAAACGTGCACAAAAACTATCATATGTATGTCTTTGGTTAATGAGTGCCAAGAGAGCAAAGAAGGTAAGAGATTGTCAAAGCGTTAAAACACGCCAACGCCAGGGAACGGCTGGCATCGTCCGGGCGTTAAAACACGCCCGCGCCAGTCAAAGAGTTAACTTGATAGGCCAGTAGGCTCCAATTACTTATGCTAATGGATATGAAAATTGATGGTGGTAATTATAGGCAGTCAGTCTGAAAATAATGTATAATTTGCTTTGGAATTATGGTTAGTACTTTCTTATAATTTTTTAATAACAATAATTATATTTAATTATGCAGTAGCATAGTGGTTGAGGCACTATGCTACAAACTTGAAGGTCGCGGGTTCAAGTCCCGATGAGGTCATTGGATTTTTTTCAATTGACCTAATCCTTCCAACTGCACTATGACCCTGGGGGTCGACTCACCATCTAACAGAAATGAGTACTAGGAATTAATTAGTTAATTTTCTTGGAGAGTAAAGCACTGCCAGCATGTAAGGCTGACAACCTTACCACTGACAACCGAAACGTCGGTTAACACCACATATACACGGTGCCAAATCCCAGAAGACTGCTTTCTTTATATATCACATATTTACTCCTATGAGATTACTGTAACCTCAGGTGGAATAAGATGTAGAAAGTGGACACCAATTAGAAGAAGACCAGCCCCTCCTTCTTATCATTAAGGAGGACCAACGAAGAGAGGAAAAAAAAGCAAAAGTCTAGACACTAAACCAAAATATGGCCATGGGTCCCAGCGGGGCCCGATGCCAGGAGTTACTGTGCTGGCTGATTGCCGGCAATATGCTTGTTCTGCTCTGCTCTGCTCTGCTCTGTTAATGGCTGCTTCAAACAGAAAAAGTTCCTGGTGCTGCTTGATACGAGGCTAAATGGGTCGAGCCAGCCAGAATGTTGTGAGAGAAAGAAAAAAGCTCTTGTTAATTAATTAAATTAATTTAGTGTAGTCTCCAGTTAACTCTAAATTAATCACTTAATATATGTGGTGCAATCCAAAAGTTCCCGAAATCTGTATAAATAAAAACTATTACATCTTACCTAGATCTTATTCTGCACCATCACCTTCAAAGTAATCCCCTTGGGAGCGCATACACCGATCCCAGCGTTTCTGCCACTTTTCAAATGCATCCTGGAAGTCTTTCTTTGATAGGGTGTTTAGTACCTTCTGCATTTCTGCTTGAATTTCCTCAACTGTATCAAATCTTCGCCCCTTCAACTTGATTTTCATCTTGGGGAAGAGAAAGAAGTCGCATGGAGCTAAGTCTGGTGAGTACGGTGGGTGGGGAACAATTGCCATCTTGTTTTTAGCCAAAAATTCCTGCACAATGTAAGCCGTATGTGGTCGTGCGTTGTCATGGTGGAGTACCCAGTCATTGATGTGCCACTTCTTTGGACGTGTTCTCCTCATGTTGTCCCTCAAACGCCTTAGAACATCGTGATAGGACTCTTTATTGACTGTCTGACCAGGAGGGACGAACTCCTTATGAACAATCCCGTCCATATAAAAAAAAACAGATCAACGTGGACTTAATGTTGCTCTTGACTTGTCGAGCTTTTTTTGGCCGAGGTGAAGAAGGGCTCTTCCATTTCGACGATTGTTGCTTGCTTTCAGGGTCGTAGCCATAAATCCAACTTTCGTCACCAGTGACAACCTTCGAAAGAAAGTTTGGATCCTCTTGAAGCTGTTGCTGAAGTTCCCTGCAGACTTCCAAGCTATGCTGCTTCTGTTCATTTCGCAGCAGTCGTGGCACAAACTTCGCTGCAATCCTCCTCATGTTCACTTCCTCTCACAGAATTCATTGACATGTACCATAACTTAGTCCCAAGGTGTTACAGAGGTCTTGGATGGTTAGTCTACAATCTTGCAGAATCAGATCCCTAACTTTCGCGACATTTTCTGGTGTTTTGCCCGTTGACGGCCATCCCGAGTGATTGTCATCATCAGTCAATGTTTGGCCATTTTTAAAACGCTTATTCCAGTTGTAAGTTTGTGTCTGGCCTAAACTGTTTTCACCAAAAGCTTGCTTCAACATTTGGTGCGTTTCTGCAGCTGTTTTTTCAAGTTTGAAACAAAACTTTGTACAGACACGGTGCTCTCTAAGGTCAGCCATCGCAAAACCGCAAACTCACGGAAACACAACAATTGAAATACATTCACCAACAATAAACCCAACCACTCAACTCGACGCCGCTTGCACACTGATTCAAGAAGGATGTGTGAGGAAACACCTAGCGGTATTTCAATGTACTCATAACTATTCGCGTGCAAAATTCAAATTTTGGAAACTTTTTGATTGTCCCACGTACATAAATGTGTATTTTTGTTCAATGTTTCAGCCAAAATTTCAAGAAAATAGTCAGTTTGTGGATAAAAGGAATGCCCTTGTCTTCATTGGCTTTCTTCAGTCCAGAAGAAAAAGCCCAAAATGGTATGTAGTGTTGTTTTTACTATTTTCTCATAACAATTATAAGTGTTCCAACTGGGTCCACTTGGCACGGCGGCCACTGATTGGCCCATTGTAGGCTGCCCCAGGTGATTATGATGATGGAGAATTTGGTGGAATGAATATTGACAGGGGAAACTGAAGTACTCGGAGAAATCCCGCCTCAGCGCCACTTTGTCCACCACAAATCCCACTCGACCAGACCCTGGATCGAACCTGGGCCCCCACGGTGGGAAGTGAGCGACTAACCACTTGAGCTATGGCACGGCCTATTATAAGTGTTAGTCTAGTCATGCAGATGTCTTTTTAAACCACATAGTTTCTAATCTGATCAAAATGTATGCCAAAGGGGAGTTTCATTCACTCTCTCACTGTCTGACTCACCCACTCAACTATCTGTGTCTTCACCCACCCATATTTTCAGTGTGTTCAGTACATACAGTTTCGTAAGTGCACCTCTTTGCTTCACCTCATCTGTCTACACATAACAACTTGAGAACTAACAACTTCACTTTGGATAAATTTGATATATGGCGAATTTTACTAAAATCTGTTGGTACATTCCAGTTTTGGTTAAAGTCAGACAAAAGTAATAACATAAATTGTTCCATGCAGTGAAGTGTACCTCACTAAGTATTTGCCGGAGCAAAAATATGTTTTGAACAGAAGAATGTAACACATTTTTTGCCCAATATATGTTTTCCATAAGCCTTATTTATTTTTAGATAATTAAACATAATAATAAAGTGGATGCACCAGAATCATTATGCTGTGCTTACATTTCCTGACTTGTTTTTTCTGTACTGTGTTGAATAGCTCAAATTCCTGCTTAGGTCTTACAGTTTAATAGCTAGAAGGTTAATATTCTCAGCTATACTGTGTTTATCTTGTTTTGTACAGAGTAGGAGGAAGATAATTATTAAGCTGCAAGAGACTTCATTTTTGTTTTATTTATTTTTGAATATTTGATTGTAGATTATGGGGGGACATTTGATAATGATAATGCATTTCAGCAGTATTGTTAGTATATAATAGCGTAAAGTGGGGTAAACAAATAGGATTAAATAAATGGATGTCATCAGTTTACAGTGGCTCATTGTTGATGCGTGAGTCTGGATTTTGTAGACATACTTACTGATTGCTGAGAAATATTTTGCATTGATATTGTTCTAGTAATGGATGCAAGATTTAATCCTTTTGAAATGAAGCATATTTGGTGAAGTCCATCTACCACATGAAGTGGTAGGAAACTTTAGGGAAGAAAAGTCCTGTAGAAGAATGGTCGAAGTTCCCGCTGCCATATGAATAGCAGAAGTGTATTGAAAATAGAATCTAGTAAATTTAGAATGAAACTGTAACCGTATACATTACTAACTGAGAGTGCCGCACCATTGTTCATATAATATATAGAGTATAGGTAAAAAAAGCTATCCCTGTAACAGGCTGAGGTCCATAGGGTTGTGAGATGTCATAGCTCCCACATTTACTAGACAGTCAGCTCACAGATGGCACTGTGGTTGCCAGCCTTACGTTCTCGCCGCTCTCCCCCCCCACAAAGGAAGATTCCTGGTACTCATTTTTGTTAGAGGCTGAGTTGACCCCAGGGCCATAGTGTGACTGGAAGGATTAGGTCAGTTGAAAAAATCCACCTCACCAGAACTTGATCCTGCGACCTTCTGGCTTGTAGCATTGTGCCTCAGCCAACTATACTACCGTGTTCCCAATGTATAGAGTATATGATTGTAAATTTAATTGTGAGTTTACTGCTGAAGAAAATGTGCCTGAAATTGGTTAGGAATTCTGTGCAACAGTGACTCTGATATTCTTGTAGCTGATGTTGGCCATAACAGTGGTCAATTTATATATACACGTGATTATATTAAAAAAAAATAAGCCAAAAATTATTTTCTTATACTTATTAATAAACCTGTTATAACTTGTACATAATTTCTGTGAGAGTGCAAATTTTTTCATTCCCTGTGTTTCATTTCACCCTATCACATCTCTCAAGATATTTTGCAGAACTGGAGAGAGTGCCAGTTATGATACATTTATTTTCTTATGTTCCAGGTCTGCTGAAATCATTCTAGTCGATTATCATGGAAATTTATATTGCTATTTGGTGTCTCCAACTGATGGGTATCAGCAGAGTCATGCATTCTCATTTGCACAACATTATCGACAAGGAGTGCTTGCTGTTGCTTACCACCAGTCACATAACATGCTGTTTGTTGCCGGCCCAATGGTGATGAAGAATTCTGATTCCTTAAAGGTACTGGCAGACTTTAGTGTTACTGAAATTTGAAGAAATTGGAGTGTAGAAGTTGTTCTTTTCACTAAGACAGTAGAACATATGTAGAGTGTGTTTGCAAGCAAAATACTGAGGAGAATATCTCAATATAAAAGAAATGAAGTAATGTGAAAATGGAGAAAATTATGTAATAAGTTTCATATTTCATATGTGTAGTTATGCCTTTTGTTTTTGTTCATGAGAGCCTGCTGTCAGTGACCTCAGATCTCATATTACTTTTTTACTAGGACTTGTGAGAAAAATCCTGGCTAAAAGCCTCTATAAATCAAAGTCTCAGATGGTGACAGTCAGAAGCCGTTGCAAGTCTTTCATGTGAGGAAGCATCACTTCAGTCTTATCGCATAGAATGGGAATGTATGCCTGCAGCTTGCTTTGCATATTGTTTCTGAATTCTGGTGCTTGAATGAATAGATTAGATTTGAGCTAACAGGACTGTTTCTAGGGTGCTTGGTGGGTGAATTACAAGAGGTTTCTTAAGTCAGATGGTACACATGGAAGTATGCAGCTTTGCTGATATACTTTCATTGGTAGCATCAGATTTCTAGTTTGCTTTCTGGCTCCTGTTGAAATAGAACACATTTTGTCACCCAACTGATTGGTCTTATGAATGTACAAGTTTTGCAAAATGTGAAGAATGTAATAAATTTTTGACAGTTAATTGCAAAAGTTTTTATAAAATGAAAGGAAAGGTAACTTGTGTAAATTAAGTATTGAAGCTCCCCACAAGATTTATGATGCTGTAGTCATTCATGATAAATATTGTAACGTGTTTAGTCACTGAAGACGCTGTTCAGATTGTTAATTGGTTTATTTAACAACCTACAAGTCTTGGCTACAATTAAGTATAACACTGTTACAGGTTTACACACTTTAGAACCCTACACACAATAGCGCAATGCGTCACAATATATATCTACACAGATAAACTTCTAGGCAGGAAATATGAACCCAGACCGTATTACTGTTATTTATGTAGTTACAGGTTTATAAAATTATGTTACTGTAAGCTTTGTCAGATTATAAGAACAGTAATAATTTTATTTATTAATATTTCACTGGTCATTAGTGTGTATTATTGAATCCATACTTCTTCCTCCATCTGTATTCCCTCCTTGGACCATATCTGTAAGCCTGTGTCTTCCAAAGCATGTTAATCTTGTAGCGGAATCCCCCTTTACTTCTGAGATCTAAGCCATGACATACATCAGAAGTTGAATCCTCATCTTGTATTTTACCCATCTATTCTGTATTATTAAATAAAGATGGAAGAACTAATATTAGGGTTCATTACCAGGATATTTGCATTATCTTTTATTTTTTTAGGCTCTCAAAATTGAGAGGGATGAGAGGGGTAAGGACTTGTAATATGCATGGGGTAGTAAGAAATTTAAACAACATATTTATAGGAAAACCTAAGAGAAGGAAGCAGTTTGGAAGACAGAAGGATATGGGAGAATATTATTAAACTGGAGTCTAGATAAGCAGGTTTCAAGCAATTGGATTGGATTGAATGAAATCAAAATCATGTCCATGGGTGACCAGTTGTCTCTGACATTTGTTTTGTTCAGCCCAGATGAAAGGGAAACAAGGATGTATGCAGAAGTTTGTGTAAGGATTCCTTGTGAAGAAAAGTCTGTGTGAAAGATCTGGGAAGGCAGTTGGAGGACAATATTAAAGTTGATTTTAGGGAAATAGTTTTATGAGGTTGTGAAGTGAATGGAACTGGCTCAAGGACATGTACAAGGTGAAACTGGTTTTAACTCTATTGAATCTTCTAATTCTGGTACCAGAATGTTAGTTATTTTACTTCTAAATGGAACACTTTTATTGATTCTTTTTGGTTAATTTGTGCCTTTACCATACAGGGCCATGGCAGTAGTATTGGTTTATCAGCGTGGCGACTGCTTAATGATCACCCGTACTACCGCCTGGCATTGTCAACAGATGAAGAGCAAGCAATATGGGAGGCCAAACAGAGTTGGTGGAAATGGGTTCCCTCACTGACATCAAATCCTAAACAAGTAATATTAGAAGATACTTCAGTTTTACAGTAAAGTATCCATATAGTTTCTTGGTGGGACCTGGGGTAGCTCAGTCAGTATAGTGACCAGACTGCTGTTTGGGAGGAGTAGAAATTCTTCCGTTTACCATGCTCAGATCGAATCTGAAGCACATTCAGTTCTCTGTGTAGTGGGTACTGGGAATGAAGTGGCTGGGACATGAAACCAATTGCTCATCCCATCTAGTGCTGAAATGAATTCACTTACATCTCCATATTATTGTCCTTATTTTATGTTTATGATTCACTGATATGTTATTTGGAACCAAAAAAGTAAGCTTCATATGTCTGTCCATCTGTCACATGCTTAAATAAAGGTTTTCATTAGAAACAGGTAAGTTCTTAGGAAGAGATTTTCTTTTAACTGTAGAAACAACATGAAAGATATTAATTTGTTTGTTTTTTTAATTGTTTCATTGTATAGTGCATTTTTATGGCAGAAATAAGTGCATGGTTTGTAGTGAAAATGTTAGTGACACCACTACGTTCAACTTCAGTAAATGATCAACAAACTGTGGTTTAAATACATTACTGTATAGATATAATGGAGAATAGTTTTGTCAAAAATGTAGGTTAATAATTATTTGTTATGTCTTTTAACATCTAGAGTGCTGTATTCAAGATGCAGGTTTCTCCAACAGGCAAACTTCTTGCTTGTCTTCATTCGTGTGGCAGCATTTCATTATGGCACCTACCAGCAATTCGGTAAGATATAATATGCAAGTGTCATCACCTGCTTACTTTCATGTCTTAAAGTAGAGAAATTGGCATGCAAGGTTATGGCTGTCTGCCTCTGTATCCCCTTTTCCACTTTCTGAACCAGTGGACCATTTTTCATAACTTTTTTTCTGAGCTTTACACAACTGGAGGTCACCCCAAGTTTCTGTTTCTTAATATCCTACAATCAGTAGTGACAGCCTCATGGATGTGTGAACTTCCGAGGTGGAAGTAATACTGTTGCCAGTGATGTGTGGTAATGGATTTAAAAAAAAATAAAATGTGGCAGCCATGGAAAAATTGTTCCAAGTTTTCAGCATAATGTTGATAGCTAATGGATCATTGGAGCTGAGGATATGAAGTTTTGTATGTAGATAAATTGTAATCATTCATATAAATTGCATGTGATGTATATAAGTCAAGAGCTACAAACATGATGGTAGTGGAAAGTTAAACTTTTAGGCAGTTTGCAACAAATATAACATAGGCAGAATCTGTATTTAAAGTTATTTGAAAAATGCTGTTACTCCTGCTGCTGCTGCTGCCACTTCTGCCACCATAATTCAGTTCTTTATTTATGTGCTTGCTCAACAGTAGAAGAGAAATTATAAACTAAGCATGAGCAAAAGAAGGAAACAAAACAAACACAATGAAAGACAAAAAGAAGGCAAATTGCATCATATTGCCAATAAAAGTTAAATTAAGTTAACTTTTTACAGTGTGTGACAACAGCCAAAAGCCAATTATGGGTAAGCACTGGAAAAGGAAAAATACATTAATACAGAAGATGTGATGAGATATAAACAAAAAAGAAGAGAAAATATGCAAACAACATTATACTGATTAACTAAATAATGTAAATAAGAATGAACATAAATTACATTATATATTATATTTATTATTATTAAGAGATTTAATAATGTCAGTTAAAGAAAATAACTCTGTTAAAAAGATATTGAAGTATCTGGAGACAACATATACCACAGGGAAACATCTGGCTGAGGAATAGCAGTGGCAAACATCAGATGTAGAAAAGTCTCTGATTTGTATAGTAGGTACACATGAGCTAACAGTATCAACAATGGATGAGCAACTAAGTTTGTTTTTTAAAGTGGGAATTACAGGGTCAGGGAAGTGTAGACTGGACTGGAGTATTGGAAGATTCAGTCTAATATATCATCATATCCATTATTGCAAGAGCCAATAAGAAATCAACAATAACATAGGACTGCAAATTTTCTATGAATTCTTGCTAGTTTACATGAATCAGTGAAAGTGATGGAGTTCAGGTGACAGAAGAATACTGAAGTTTAGAACAGAATAGAGCTTTGTAGAGAATCATAAAATTATTGATAGTAAAAGAGGAAAATTTAATATAATGAATCAACCCTAGCATTTTTAAGCCTCATTAAAAATGTAATTTACAGGGCTGTGAAAGTAAAGCCTACAGTCTCATGCACTGGGAGCAGGTTACTAATTTGATACATAATTTGTAATTAAACTTGATATTGTTAGTTTTATGACTAAATTAAGTAAGTGTAGTTTTATCTGTATTCAGTTTTATATCACTATGAAGGCACTGTGTGCGCACAAGGTTTCTATCAAACTGAAGACCTTACAATGCTCAACATACATGATAACATGGTACATCTCAAGATCATTTGCAAACAACAGGTAGCTGGTATTATGAATGGATAATTGAATATCATTAATACAAATATTTGGTTCTGTATGGGTGTAAAAATTGGTGTCTGACATTAACTCTTTGACTGGCGCGGGCACGTTTTAATGCCCAGATGATGCCAGCCATTCCCTGGCGTTGGCGTGTTTTAGCACTTTGATAAACTCTTCTCTTCTTTGCTCTCTTGGCACTCATCAACCAAAGACATATATGTGATAGTTTTTGTGCATGGTTGTAAAAAACCTTTGTTAACTTTGTGGGGGTCTATATGAGGGGCGTTCAAGTTCTAAGGTCTCCGATTTTTTTTTCTCAGGACTGGGAGCAGATAGACACATGCAGTTTAGTTTAAAATACATGTGCACTCTTTGTGAATGTGTGACAGAGATGGCGGCACTGTACGGCACACAGATTTCTAGTGGTGTGGGAGAGAGTGAGGAGTGTTTTTGATACCTAAAATGGCGACGTTTTCGTTAAAGAACAGTGAGTAATCATTCGTTTTCTCCACTTGCGTGGTGCGATACCCATTAAAATTCGTCGCCAGTTGACTGAGACATGTGGTGATGGTGTCATGAATGTGAAAAATGTGCGCTTGTGGGTGCAACAGTTCGAAGAAGGCCGAACGTCGTGTGACAACGAACCAAAACAATCTTGGCCCTGCACCAGCCGGTCTGACAAAATGGTCGAGCGAGTTGAGAAAGTTGTTTTGGAGGATCGCCGATTGAGTATGGAAAACATCGCCTCCAGAGTTGGAATTTCCGGCGGATCTGTGCACACAATCCTACATGAAGACCTGTGAATGCAGAAAGTGTCCTCCAGGTGGGTGTCACAAATGCTGGCGGACGACCACAAAGCTGCGTGCATGGCAATTTGCCAGGCGATGTTGGCATGTGATGAAGGCATGAATGGGACTTTCTTTTCATCAATTGTGACAATGGATGAGACATTCACCGTGGTCACACATTCACCAGTTGTGCTGCTATTGCATCAGCAATTTTCCAGTAGTCAAAACAGTCTCCTACAGATGCGGTCGCTGCGGCCATGGAATCATGGCATCAACGTTGTGAAAAATGTATACGGCTGCAGGGAGATTACATTGAAAAGTGACAGAAGTTTCAAATTTTTTGTATGATTATTGTGTGAGAAAAAAAATCGGAGACCTAAGAACTTGAACGCACAACGTATTACTGTCAGAACCCTCCGAGAAGGAAAAGGTCAGAAAATATTTCACATTCATTCAGTTTCACCATGGCTTCTCACAGCAAGTGTCAGAGTGTTCCTACAGACCAGCTGGAAAATGTTGTGAATGAAATTTGTGCTGATGATGATAGTGGTGATGAAATGATTCCTGAATTGGATGAAGTTGATAGTGACAATAATACAGTGATAGACAATGATCCACAAGACAGTAATCATGAACAGTTACCTACCACGAGTGCGGTGCCTGACACACCCATCTCATGGACGTACGGAGACATTGTACCAACAATAGTTCCATTTACTAGTAGTTCTGGGATCAAAATTGATATAACACATAAAATGCACCCCTTTTCATGGATTAAAATTTTTCTGGATGACGACTTAGTAAATCACATCACAACTGAAACCAATTGCTATGCTTACCAGCACTTCAGCACACATGAGTTAGCTCCTTACTCTCGAGAACACAATTACAAATATGTCACACCAGATGAAATCTGGACATACTTAGGAATTGTGTTCATGACAGGAATCGACAAACGCCCTGAAATTGAAGAATATTGGTCTACTAGGCCCCTATTTCACACCATGGTATGGACAAAAGATGCCTTTGCGGCGATTCCAACAGATTTCAAAACGATGCATGACCAGCTGACTGTGAATATTGCCTGTATAAAGTTAGGCCAATTATAGACTCATTAGTGGGGAAATTTAGGAACGCATATATCCCTGAAAAGGAAATTGCAATAGATGAAGGAATGATCGCTTGGAAAGGACGTCTTATCTTCCGAGTATATAAACCTTAGAAGTATGGTATAGAGGCTTATCTTGTTTGTGAATCGACAGGTGGATATATTTGGAATTTTGAAATTTATTGCGGAAAATCAAGACCTATAAAGGAATTAGTTGTCGATCTGTTGGGGCCACAGCTTCTAGATAAAGGGTATCATCTCTACCAGGATAACTGTTACAACAGTGTAGAATTGTGTGAGACGTTATTACAGAGAAATACCTATGTGCGTGGAACCTTCAGAATGGACAGAGGAGCCCCTAGAGAACTAAAGGATGACGTAAAAAATTTGAAAAAAGGGGAATCTGTGTTTTCTAGGAAGGGGCAGGTTCTCCTACAGGTGTGGAGAGATAAAAGAGACATGAAACTTATCTCCACTCTTCACACAGCAAAAATCGTGGAATCTGCAAAAACGAATTGCAAAGGAGAAAAAATATGCAGACCCGAGGTAATTGGGGACTACAATAAACATATGAGAGGGGTTGACAGGGCTGATGAAATGCTCCATTTTTATCCTTGTTCCTGCAAAACTGTAAAGTGGACAAAGAAACTGGTGTTTTTCTTGTTGCAAATGGCAGCGTTGAATAGTTTCATTCTCTTCAAAAAGAACACAACAAACGAAAAATACAAGAAGAGAAATTACAAATTCGAAGAGTTTATGTTGGACTGTAGAAAAAATGACAGAACCAAAGAAACAGTGTGGAGAGGGAGAAGAGTCAAAGAATGAAGTGGATGACGAATCTATTGCTTCACACTCGAGTGCAGTCACGCCTCCGTCCGCGGCCTTGAAAAGACCACCAGTGAAAGACCCAGCAAATCGTCTAGAGGGAGGCCTGAAAATACATAAAATGGACCATGTTCCTCCCAGTAACAATAAGAAGAATGGTGCCATGAGAAAGTGTCGTGTGTGTGCTAAGCACAAGATTAGATTAGAAAAGAAACAAGTGTCATGTGTGCAAGCTGTGGTGTGGCTCTTTGCAAACTTTCATGTTTCAATGTTTATCACATGAAGAGAAACGACTAAGAAGATATGGAAAGACGTTTCTTGCATAAAATATTGTCTTTTTATTAGTTCCTGAAAATTTCGTTCTTAAAAAACCATTTTCTGTTGAAGTTATTTAGAAAAAAGTAAACACATGCATTTTAGCAACTTAAGGCTTAAAGGGCCTGCCAGGATGGGGGTGGGATTTAAATACCCTTCATGCCAGTCAAAGAGTTAAGGGAGAAACATAGACTGAGGCTGTTTGAGAACAGGCTGTTGAGGAGAATATTCGGACCAAGAGAGATGAAGTGACAGGAGGTTGGAGAAGACTGTATAATGAGGGGCTTCATAACTTGTACTCTTCTCCATGTATAATTAGAATGATCAAGTCAAGGAGGATGAGGTGGGCAGGGTATGTAGCACGAATGGGGGAGACAAATGCATATAGGATATTGGTGGGGAAAACCAGAAGGAAAGAGACCACTGGGAAGACCAAGGCGTAGGTGGGTGGACAATATTAAAATGGATCTTAGAGAGATAGGATGTGATGGTATGGATTTGGATTGATCTGGCACAGTATAGGGATGAGTGGAGGGCTCTTGTGAACATGGTAATGAACCTTCGGGTTCCATAAAATGCTGAGAAATTCTTGAGTAGCTGCAGAATTGGTGGCTCCTCCAGAAGGGCTCAGCTCCATGAGTAAGTAAGTAATACAAATATTAAATATTAATGGTAAAAGACGATGATGACAGCAGTAAAGAGGCCAGTTACAGGTAGGCACTGAAATAAAAAGAAGACATAAAAGTTACAGTAGTACAGTAGAAATACAGAAATAACTGCCTGTAATAATGTTATATTTTAGCGTCCTGTTGCACTGATTTAAGTCCATGATTTATTTTATCCGTCTTCCAGTGCATACATCCATCTATCCCCTCCTCTCACTCTCACTACATGTTTCGGCACTAATATGCCATCTTCAGGTGCTGATCCAATCCACGACAAACTAATTCATTGCATGCCTTGTCTTTACATACTAAAATAACTAAAATATATATTTATCATATATACTGACAAATGTCAAGTGTTAAAATACTAAAACTGTACAGCATATTTCTTTCCTACGTNAGATGGATGTATGCACTGGAAGACGGATAAAATAAATCATGAACTGCCTGTAAGATTAAAGCGGGGTCCAAATGAACAAAGAATTTAAAGGACTCTGAACCTAACAGAAGTATTTGTATGTAATGTGATGAGCGATTGGAGGGTTGAAAAATATCTGCGAGTGGTGTTCAGTCTTTGGTCAGTGTTACTGCAGATTACATTATACAATTCATACATTACAGTGTATAATAATAACAGCAAGTTGTAAGCAGTAATTTTTTTTTGGCTTGAATATGATTCAGTCTTACTGCCATTTGTGCATGATATGAAAATATTAGATCCATGAGCTAAATTGTTGTTTACTGTTAGATTATAAACTGGCCTAATTATTAGCATAAGAGTGGAAGGTTTAAAGGACTTAAGGCTTTATGAGTTCTGCCTAGAATGGCATGTGTATCATCTCATTTTTACATTTTGTTTTCACTTCATGGGAAAATGTGTAGAGAGAGTAGAGAACTGTTAAAAGGCTGCTGTGTTCATAGGACACTGACTGTGTTTCCTTCTCAGGCTGTACAAGTACTGGCCCTTGTTGGATCAACCACATTATAACGCACAAAATCCCCAGCATTCCAAGGGAAGTTACAGCCATGGCAGTGATAACAGTAGCTACCAACCAGTGGTTATCAATTGGTGGACTGACCAAGTAAGTCTTCTATTTTTTCTTCTTCTTGAATTGTTTGCATTAAGGTAAGGGTTCAGTTGATGGAAAGTCTTCAAATATTATATGCACGTTTTTTATCTTGTATCTCAATCCATACTTTCTCTGTCATTTTTAATACTGTCAGTCACTTTGATAAGCCATCTCAGTCTGTGTTTTGCCTTTCACTTGATTTTTAATTTCTTCTAGGCATTCTTTTTATATCCATTCTTTTCATGTGTTCAAAGGACTGTCATCTTTAACTTTAGGCATCTATAAACTCCTAGTTCCTCTCTGTCTTCTGTTTCTTTCCCTTTCTTTTATCTCTATAATTCTTAATAATAATTTTGGATTGTTGTATATATTTCAGTTGTATCTCCTTTGTTGGTCATCCATATTTAATGATCATGCATGAACCCCATACTATGTGGCACAAAAAATGCATTTAAGAAAAGATAATAGAAATTAATGGCCCTATAAAACTGAATTAAGCTCATAAATGTTGTGTAGAACATACCTAAGTATACATGTGAATAGATTTATTCATTTTGCCTGATTCATCAGACAGAAACGTATTTTATATTTTTACTGTTAAAATTTGACGTTTTTACTGTCGTATTACCCACTCTTTGAAAATGTTAGATGATGATACAGTTGAATTTGTCAAATCTATAGAATTCCCTTGAACTTCTCCAGATTTAGATCCATCAGGGCACCATGTTGAAGCATACTTAAACATTGAGTGGCCAAACCAGAGAGTACTGTTTCAGTTGTTCAAGTTGCTGCAACAAAGAATTGTAAATATGTTTATTTATGTGGCCTCTAGTATCACAAAATAATATCAAGTATGTGGAAAAGATAGATTGAAGCTGTAGTCCAGGGAAACTGGGGAGGGGGTCTTATTATGCAGTATCAATTTTTATGAAAAACATTATTGGATTGTAAATAAAATGCCTATTTTTGACAATCAGAATGGAAAATATTTTCCTATAATGAATTAGCTGAACTGGATAAATCTTTTTGTACACATGCTTAGACATGTTTTACAGAACTTCCATGAATGTTATTCTGTGAAGGAAGCGTTCAGTGGTAGTGTGCGAATCTGAGAGCTCCTTAATTTAAGTACAAAA